CATCACTACCACCACCACCGCCGCCGCCGCCGCCACCACCACCACCACCACCACCACCATCATCATCATCACTACCACCACCACCACCACCACCACCACCACCATCATCATCATCATCATCATCATCATCACTACCACCACCAACACCACCAGCACCGCTGCCGCCGTCGTCGTCGTCATCATCATCATCATCATTATCAAATTAGTCCAAGGAAGAATTAGCCCATCCTGTAAACATATAGAAATTGTGATTAGTATAATCATATTTTACCACAATACTTTCAGTGCAAAAAGTGCTAAAATAAAATTACTGTTAAAATATGTACATTAATATTAAATTGTGTGTTGAAATTTGCAGGAGTGTACTAAGGTTTTGCAAATGAAGTTAAACTGACACATGAAGGAGAGTCAGGTTGATAAATGCTTGCAGTAGTATAATCAAGAAGAATCATCTAGAAGTTCAGTAGAATAATACCATAGAATTCTAATTCATCCAAATTTAAACCATGGAAAGTAAACATTAGTTTTCATCTGTTTTTGTACATTTATCAAAAATCTGGGTCATGTATGCTATATTGCAACATTAGGTAAGTGACATACTTCTGTTATGAAGCAGTATTACATTAATAGCTCTGTGTTCTGGTTCTGACACAATCAGTCATTTCATGATATCATTATCAATAACATTTAAAATTTAGACAGATTTATGTGCAAATGAGATATTTACAGAAGGTAATTACATATCTTTGTTATATGTATCTATGGGTGCTAATGAGCTCTATGAATGATATCAAATGATAAAATAGGATGACAAACTCCAGGCAATATCACATATCTTTCATAAGTAGAAGAATGAGATTTTTTTTTTAAATGTTTAGTAAGAATTGATATTGTATTTGTATCAAGGTGTCAGAATCAGGGATCCATTTTCAGGGCATTGTACCTTTGAAACTACATGCACACGTATATATATCTTGATAAGTGGATTTGCAATGTAAGTGAGCATATATTATCATAGGGTTATTGACCACAAACAGGATAACAGTGGACAATTGATGTTTAAGTGTTGATGTGTCATGATAAAGAAACTTTGACCAATAGTCCTTGACCAAGGGGGTATTCACTTATGGTCAATCTCCCTTAAAGTTTTAAGTGTTTAGAGACAAATTCATCACAAAAAAACCCCCAAAAACTCTATTGAGAAATAACATGCATTTCTGCTTTAAGAAAGATTAATTGTAAGTTGCAGTGTTGACAGTGTGCTTATTTTCATGAATTTTCCGCACGAGATTGTAGAAAATTGATTTAATGTTGAACATTTTCCTCACATTTAAAAGACCTCAAAGGCTTGTACTCACTGATATGTCCCGTTTACCGAGTTAACAATGTTACACAACGTATGAAATGTTTAGATTTATCTAAGCTTACTCAATTTCAGACTTTCAATGTATCAGTCTTTATAGTTGATAAACAACATCACTACCAAAGTTTCCAGACTGAATATTCAAGTGTAAGCTCCTGATAGTTTGTGAGACTGATGAGTATTCCTGGCATTATAAGATCAACTTCAGCTGGTCCATACATGATGTTGAGGTCAATTAGCTCTTCACCTGGCATACACAGAGGTCAATTGGTCCTTCTAAAGCTAACATTCAATAGGCTAGAGAAAAATCCTCAGCATTATAGCTACTCATTAGGTGAAGTTTCATGAGATAAATATTTAGTTCACATGACCATAAGTATTAGAAGGGAATACATTATCCAGTAATAAATTGACTGTAGGTTTTCATTTATCATATAGTATAATCGGTAATAAAAACCAAAGCATCATGTACCTTCCAGTTTATTATTTGCATTGCTAATATTGTTTTATATATACACTTTTTGAATGGTTTACAACCTATGCAGTACCAAAATCACTATTATAGTGTATTTATAAGAATAAATTACAAAATGTTAAATCATGTAAAACAGTTAATGTAATTGCAAGTAACATTCATTTATCTGGTAAACATTGTCAGAGGCTTGTTCTAATCATTTACAAGTCCTGGAAACCCTATCTGCAGACTTTTTTTATGCACATACAACAGTGAATGCTTTTGAAAATAAGTTGAAGATTGCAATGCATGATTATACTCTGTTATGCTAATGTGTCTTCGACGTGCAAAGATAGATCAGAGAGACCCAATGCTAATACGCTGCATGTATAAACAAAATACAACAGGTCATGGGTGATATTAGGGTTTTTCTCTGAAATATTTGTATATTCTCTTCACTTCACACTTACATGTCATAACCAAATCAAAGGTTCCTGGTATCAGCTGTGTGGTTGGTTACTGATATAAGATCTGAACAATCGCCATATTTATATACTGTATTGACAGTTAATTTCTTAGGGACGATATTTCACTGTTTTGCGTTACATTGATGTGACAGCAAAAACTTAGTTTGTGAAATAATGAGAGATGAGTGTATTAGATATAGTTTTACATCCAGGTTGTCAAATTTTAACTTGTTTTAATAGTAAATGCTTTTGAAAGAAAATCACGGACATTTTGACCTCCTGAAAATTACCAGCTGTATGGTTATCTATCCTTCAGGATTTCAATGGAACGGCTTGCGAAGTAAAAGCTAGTGTAAAATTTTTCCTTCTGTTACTGTGCATTTGCTTCTGTCTTGATATTACAGGGAGGAGTTGATACAGACTTTCATTGATTGGTATATATAATCCACTTTACCATCGTATATATTCCCAGGGTGTTAAGAAAGTCCCTTTTGGGGCTTTCTTATATACATATATCGTATATATTTTCAGGGGGGTTAAGAAAGTTCCTTTTGGGGCCTCCGTATATATATATTGTATATATTCCCAGGGTGTTAAGAAAGTCCCTTTTGGGGCCTCCGTATATATATATATATATATTGTATATATTCCCAGGGTGTTAAAAAGTCGCTTTTAGGGCTTTCTGATATACATATATTGTATATATTTTCAGGGGGGTTAAGAAAGTTCCTTTTGGGGCTTCCATATATATATATATATATATATATATATATATATATATTGTATATATTCCCAGGGTGTTAAGAAAGTCCCCTTTGGGGCCTCCGTATATATTGTATATATCCCCAGGGTGTTAAGAAAGTCCCTTTTGGGGCCTCCGTATAAATATATATTGTATATATTCCCAGGGTGTTAAGGAAGTCCCTTTTGGGGCCTCCGTATGTATATATATATATATATATATATATTGTATATATTCCCAGGGTGTTAAGAAAGTCCCTTTTGGGGCCTCTATTGTATATATTCCATGGTGTTAAGAAAGTCAATTTTTGACTTCCATGTATACATAAACCGGTATTGTATATATTCCCAAGGTGTAAAGAAAGTCCCTTTTGGGGCTTCCATACATACATATAAGTTTATTTTAACATGAATTTATAGAGAAATGAAAACTGGAAAATAATATTTTTTTTTTTATGTAAATGACTCTATGAAACATTTAATCTTTCAAAAATTGTTTCCTTTCTCTGTCATTAATAAGTATGACCGGTAAAACTGCACTTGTAAGTACCTCAGATGTGACTTTTTACTTGTATTGCTGAATCCTGTTTCCCAGAAGTGGCTGATCGTATGATAGTGATATATCAAATTATCAGTGATATATATGTAAACCCCATCTGTCAACATGTTGTTGAAGATACAGAAATCTTGGCATTTTGCTCACTTTATGAATTTACAGAAATTATCAGTTGGTGGTATGTAGTATGTATCTTGCCATGACCAGATGTGTTGTAGCACTGTGAACTTGCCTTGTGTAAATAAATTTCAGATCAAGGATATAATGATTTAATAAGCAGTTTTTGGAGAATGAAGATACATCTATGACTCATAGAAATACACAGTTATTATATATATCAGTATATGTGTTTGGATTGTCAGTGTCACACTATGTACATTTTAATGCCCACAATTTGTGGAAGTTCTTGGTTGACTTTTAGTATTCATGTATATGTAGTTGGTAAAAAAAGAGGATCTTACACTATATGGAAATGAATACAAGTATGAGATTCTATTTATTATATAAATGAAATATTCTTGTTATTATGTGTGAAAGCAGTATTTCTTTAGGTGAATATAAATTCTAAATTGTCAATATTAGTATTTTATATCTCTTTCTATGGTGACATTACAGTGTGTTTGACCTTATAAGTAGTTATCAAAACAATGGGAACCTCCATATCCAATCACATCTCCTCTTGGTGTTATTGCACTTACCCATGAAAAAGTATGTAATATATGTATTATAACAATGATAACAGGATCATTATTCTTATCTTGTCTGTCACTAGTTTTTTGCAACCATGGGTCTTTCATACAAGAGAAGTTGTCCCCATGTCGATATTATAGTATCCACTGTTTGATGGAGGAATTGGAGTTTTTCTCACAAGGTCATATCAATACTTCAATGTGGCATCATTTAAGCTTACAGACAGTGCCAAATCCTGGCACAGTTTACAGATGTTTATGGAGTAGTCTTAAATGTAATACCCACATAACTTCAACATTTTATGTGAAATGTGGTCATGTTAACGTCATGTGAAATCGGTTAAAATCAATAATCAATTATCGATTAAAATCAGAAAGGTTTTTGACGAATTTTATTGATTAGATAATTGGCTGACTGTATGCTCAATATTCATAGAAAGTGAAAATATTCTCTATTGCTGTAATGTTTTCCTTTTTTTTTTGAACTTTAATTAACCTAAAATACCTCACTTACCTAGAATTTGCATCAAAATGAATATAATTGGCAATTTGCATCTAAATTATGCATCATATGAATTTGGTTTTTGCTGAAACACAAGAAAATATTAGGCACATATGATTGATTATAACAAATTACAATTGATCATCATCATCCCATTTCTTCCTCAATGTGTGGAATTAACTTTTACTATATTTGGAGACCACATTTTGATACAAGAAACTGCAAAACATGCGGGTCAGATGTTCCGTCTGTCCTCATGTGGTATCCACTGTGCGTAAAATGTTGACATTTCAAACTTTTTCTAAAGTTTCATTGGTGGGATTAAGCTCCAACTTGCATGAAATGATCCTGAGATAGTCCTGACCAAGTGTTGTTATTTTGGATATACCTGAAATCCAAGATGGCTGCCATCTTGAAAAAGATATTTTAAACTTCTTCTCCAGTTCCACTGGTGCCATTGAGTTGACAATTGTTGGGATTGTTAAGTAAAGGTAGCCAACAAAGTGTTGTTATTTTTGTGCAATCTAGGTTTACCTGTGCAAAACCTATTTCAAACTTTTTCTCAAGTTTCACTTGTGGGATTAAGCTCCAACTTGTGATTGTTTTGATAATTCTGTCATTCATTTTCCAGTGATCACTTCTAAACCAGAAGTCGTTAGTTGTTTATTATTTATTGTTGATATTCATTTGCTGTTTTTTTGTGTCCACAGGGTCGACACCTAGATGATGTTACTTTAGTGTTCCAGGCACACCAGAGACAGTTCATTGTCGATCTCACACTAAATAAGTGAGTACCCTTCGTCATACCACTAAATAATAAAGTGTCTGATTTTTGACTCACCAGTATACCTTAAAACTATGAATAAGCAAATATGAATACATGGTCAGTTATTTCTTTTTTTTTTATGATAAATTGGTCATCGGATGTATAACTTAATAGATTATGTTAATTTTTATTTACATGTTGTACTTTATACAAGTTGTGTTACTGATATTGAGGCTTTGGAATAATTATCTTATAGGATTACCTTGTTTCATTATCTTTTAATTATCAAGTAAAATTTCAGTTAATGTCTGGATTTCATTGCTGTCAATTCCCTGATAACTAATGTTTATTTTGCTATGCTGATTAACATTGTTCACAAAACCCAAATTCTAAGAACATTGTTCATAAAACCCACATTCTGAAAAGGTTTCAAACTGATTTCAGTGTTGGTATAGTATTAGATATTGGCGGATGTCAGCACTATCAGACAGGAACAGTGTGGGAGCACTTAATACTTTTAGCAGTTAGATCAATACAAAATACTCATTTCCACGTGAAGGAGAAATTTTGTGTTAATTGGTATATATGAATAAACGCTGCCAGCTAGAGCCTCTGCAGGTGATTAAGACTGCAGCTTGTGAAATAGGACAACATAATTCACTTCTCGGGAACAACCTACTAATCTTGAATTATTGCACTGACTACAATCAATAAAAGCCATATGAATGGATGTTGTATCTAAATGACAAATCTTAAAAAACTATATGTTTTTTTATCTGAATCAAACCCTTTTTTGTTTTTGTCTGTAATTTCCAATATCTAGTATGATTTTTCATATGGCTCGTTACTCTGAACATAAAGGATTATAACTCTGCCGTTTGAAATTATGGACCTTTTTAACTTGCACTAGGTATTATTTTTACTGTGACAGAACATCTGCTGAAAAAACTGGTCTTCAAAAAGAAATCCATTATAAACTGTAAGGATCATATTTACGTTTCTGAAGAAATAGATATTTGAATTATATTGTCACTCATTTGAGTGGTATTCATCTAGCAGAAACCCCATGCATACATGGTAATTATAAGAAGCCCACACATACTTGTTGCTGTCTGAATTAGAAAGAAAATCCTATGCCATTGTCCTGCAATAAGCCCACTTTTCATTTCAGTAATAATGACCATAACTTTAGCATATATGGTACTTGCACCCATAAACCACTTTTGGGTCAGAATTGATAGGGCAATAATTATAAGCCCACTTTGGTTCAAAATTGATAGGGCAATAATAATAAGCCCACTTTGGGTCAGAATTGATAGGGCAATAATTTTAAGTCCACTTTTGGTCAGAATTGATAGGGCAATAGTTATAAGCCCACTTTTGGTCAGAATTGATAGGGCAATAACTATAAGCCCACTTTGGGTCAGAATTGATAGGGCAATAACTATAAGCCCACTTTGGGTCAGAATTGATAGGACAATAATTATAAGTCCACTTTTGGTCATAATTGATAGGGCAATAACTATAAAACCACCTTTAGTCCAAATTGATAGGACAATAATTATGAGCCCACTTTTGGTCAGAATTGATAGGGCAATAACTATAAGCCCACTTTGGGTCAGAATTTGTGGGACAAAAAGCCCAATTTGGGTCAGATTTGGTATTTGGTCCTGTGATTATTGCAGGATAAATTTGTAATACACACAACTGTACCACCATAAAATGTTCCCTGTACACACAATTATACCACCATAAAATGTTTGCTGTACACACAACTGTACCACCATAAAATGTTCCCTGTACACACAACTGTACCACCATAAAATGTTCCCTGTACACACAATTACCCACCATAAAATGTTCACACAACTGTACACACACACACAACTGTACCACCATAAAACACACAACTGTACTACCATAAAATGTTCCCTGTACACACAACTGTACTACCATAAAATGTTCGCTGTACACACAACTGTACCACCATAAAATGTTCCCTGTACACACAACTGTACCACCATAAAATGTTCCCTGTACACACAACTGTACCACCATAAAATGTTCCCTGTACACACAACTGTACCACCATAAAATGTTCCCTGTACACACAACTGTACCACCACACAACTAAAATGTTCCCTGTACACACAACTGTACCACCATAAAATGTTCCCTGTACACACAACTGTACCACCATAAAATGTTCCCTGTACACACAACTGTACCACCATAAAATGTTCCCTGTACACACAACTGTACCACCATAAAATGTTCCCTGTACACACAATTATACCACCATAAAATGTTCCCTGTACACACAACTGTACCACCATAAAATGTTCCCTGTACACACAACTGTACCACCATAAAATGTTCCCTGTACACACAACTGTACTACCATAAAATGTTCGCTGTACACACAAAAATGTTCTGTACACACAACTGTACACACAACTGTACAACCATAAAATGTTCCCTGTACACACAACTGTACACACACAACTGTACCACCATAAAATGTTCCCTGTACACACAACTGTACCACCATAAAATGTTCCCTGTACACACAACTGTACTACCACACAACTAAAATGTTCCCTGTACACACAACTGTACCACCATAAAATGTTCCCTGTACACACAACTGTACCACCATAAAATGTTCCCTGTACACACAACTGTACCACCATAAAATGTTCCCTGTACACACAACTGTACCACCATAAAATGTTCCCTGTACACACAACTGTACCACTATAAAATGTTCCCTGTACACACAACTGTACCACCATAAAATGTTCCCTGTACACACAACTGTACTACCATAAAATGTTTGCTGTACACACAACTGTACTACCATAAAATGTTCCCTGTACACACAACTGTACCACCATAAAATGTTCCCTGTACACACAGCTGTACTACCATAAAATGTTCCCTGTACTACCATAAAATGTTAGCTGTACACACAACTGTACCACCATAAAATGTTCCCTGTACACACAACTGTACCACCATAAAATGTTCCCTGTACACAACTGTACTACCAGAAAATGTTTCCTGGTCACATTATCAGTGGTAGTGAAATATGCTACAGTTGTTCTACATATGTTGAGTGTCAGATTTTATGAGCTTGAGTTGCTAAAACAGGACAAGTAGAAGCTATATAAGTGGATGATGGTGATGAGCTCTATTTTAAGAGCTGAAAATCAATATAAATTTTGCTGATGGTCTATAACTCTAAATGGGGATGCTATTTAAAGTGAAATAACTTCTTCACATTAGGCCTGTTTGTTAAAGGAAGGTGTTTTTAGGTATTTCTAGAACTGTATGCTAAGTCTTGGTCTAAGTTAAGAAAATTTCAAATACAACATATATGATTTTATAATTTATTGCTGCAACCTATTTAGAACATTTGTATTTCCATAAGATGCTTTTTTTGATATCCCATTGATTTCAGCATTTTCTTTTTCTCCACAAAACTCCTGAGTTTTGTATTAATTCATGTTAAATTATCATATTCACATAAAAAAACAAAACTGTATACTGTATTATCATAACATATGTGATCATTGCGTGATCAATAGAACTCAAATATGGTGAGGAACAAATCAATTACAAATGCTATTAACTAGAAACTTATTCAAATTGGGTTTTTGATAGAAAAATGTCTATTTTAGCACTATTGTTTGATGTATATCAAATCACCTAATGAAATTGGCTTCTGAATCTGCCTCAAAAACTGATTAATATACCGTATTATTCTGAGATGAATTATTCGGCTAAGATATAAACTTTCACTAATTCTATTGTGCATTCTTTAAATTATATTGTACGTGTTGTTAAAATTATAGGCCTTAAGTGCAATTGATATTTAATTTGATACATTCATTATTCTCGTTATTCACTAATATATCTCAAGGGAAACATTGGTATACACTTTCAAGGTAGCATGAAATTAATTGATAAGAATATTTGATATATAAATGGTTGAATTCATAAGTATATCCCTAAATCACTTGCACCTTTTAGATATGCTTAATGTACATTAAGATCATATAAGTGTACATAATATTTTTTTTCCACTACAGTGTATTTAGAAAAGTTGCCATGATAAAAGTTCATATACAATGTAAAAGGTTGATTTGACAAAAATTAATTTGCAAATATTGCCATATCTTTCTATATATTGCAGAATGGTAATAATAAAATCAATAAACAATTCTTCATTAATAAGTAACATTTTGCCATCTTTCTTTTCAGACATTTGTTTTCCAAGGCATACATAGAAAAAACCGTAAAGGACAATGGTGACCATGTATATAAACCAGCAAACCATGTAGGTGTCAGCTGTCATATGGTAGATGTCGGAATTCAGATAGAAAATAATACAAATGCATTTCCTGTTACCTCATCTTTTGTCTTTAATATTCAAGCCTACTTTCACCTTTCTGAAAATTACTATGTACCAGATCACTGTTGCAGAATGCTAATTTTTTGAGGGGAGGAGGGAGGTCTTCAGGTGATCAAATGTCCCAGCTATTAGACAGTCTCGTCCAATAACACTACTACCACTCTATATAACTACTTCCACTGATGATTATGGGTACTGAAATAAAATAATTTTAGCTCCCACATAATTCCATGATGGAAACCATCTTTGTCTGTTTTATGTTTGCAATTGTCTAATTCAAGCAATAGGAAGCATTTTGATACTGTTTTGTAGATATCCAACCATTGTTTTTACCACGGTGCCTTACGGGATCTTCCAAGTTCTATGGCAGCTCTCAGCACATGTGGAGGTATTAGGTAAGTGGATTCATTTAACTTTGATACAAAATATGGCATTCTTAATGCATGCAAACTTCAGAAACTTAAAAAGTAGCTAGATAGTTGTCTGTTCTGCCATAGATATCCTTGTAATAAATATTTTAATGACATGTTGTGATATCATAATTATGGATGATGTCACACAACCTTCTTGGTAGAGAAATATGTACCGTTGACTCCCTGTCTTGTTTTGAATATAATATCTATTTGAATTACAGAGTTTCAAATGATATAAGAAATGTTTCAGTTTGGTATTGTTTTACAACACAAAACCATCATTACAGATACAAGTGTCCTCAATTAGTGTTTGTTTTTGCAGTGGGTTTGTAACTGTAGGCCGTGAGACTTACCATGTGGAACCAGAGGACAAGGCTGTACCAGTCTCGATCAAAGTCTATAAGGAAGTGACACAGGGTCCAGATCCAGGCACCCACAGTCATTGTGGTAAGTGACTACTGTAATGTTATTTAAGTTCATAATTACGTAATTGATCATATGTGAAAGTCACAGGTACAGCTTAAATCTGAATCACATTCAAAGACCTACCAATGTTATAGCTGATTATGAATCCTCAAATCTCACAATGGTAATTTATTCGCCATAAAGACTTTTTACATCTAAAAACCATAGTTACATTTTGTATTGAATGTATAGGTCAGTTAAACAGCTTAAGGACTCAGTTATTTATTTCTGGATTCCTGGTCTCTTCTGCAGTAAAATGTTAAGGTTATTTTGAAATCTTCCAGACTTCTGGACTTGTGGTATGTATTTTGAAGCCATCTTGACAGTTGGATGAATCAGTCTGTTGACGACTATCTGTGTTATCTTGTAAATGAATCCTCTGAATGATATTGAATTTTCTTTCACCCAGAGTCGGATGACAAACAGTCTGTGTTTTTTGTCAATGGCACAGTCAACAATTTGCACAGAAAGGAATTTTCCCAAAGGGTAAGACAAATTTCTCATCAGAATTAAGGTTAAAGAACATGTTTCTGACTTGAGTTTTATCTGATAAGCCAATTCATTTGTCAAAATAAAATTTGTAAACAACACTCATTGTTACTTTTTTACTCTCTTTATGACTGCAGGTGAGAAGAAGCATCAGGGGTCCCTATGACGGCAATGAGAATGCTAGATTTGTAGAACTTTTCATTGTGAATGACCATCGCACTGTAAGTATAGCATTTTCAAACTTTCTGGTAGTGCTTTCTCGAACAGTATGTTAAGACAGAGAATACCAACATCAGTGGAACCAAATACAGTTGTATACTTGATCAGTAAATGTATGTGGATTAATTAATATCATTATAAAACAATTTGACAGTTTCAACATTTCTTTTTCAAAGCCAGTTTATCATAATGACAAATAAATTTTTATTTTTTGATTTTTAAATGATATATAATTATTGCAAAACATTTCAAGACAAGAAACATTAAAACATTTTCAAATTTTTGAAAATTAAAGGAATACATTTTGGAAGGTTGCATTAAGTGAAATCTGTAATCATTGATTTAAAAACTTCAAATCTGGACGCAGGTAAAACTTTCAGGTATTAGGTAGAGGTTGTCAATACGGGGCCTGTATAAAATCAGTTTCAGTTTGTTAGGATCTCAATCCATTAGTAAGCATCTTGCATCACATTGATTTCTTGTTAAGATTGTGTCAGGAAAAGTGACTCGCTGATATCTGGATGTGGAAACGTTCAATAGATGTTATCAATAGAGAAACAGTGGTTTGCAATCATAATTGGCTTAGAGACCACCTGTCTATGTCCGCTAATGTCTTCAACTGGATACAAATTTTTGTGTGGACCATTTTTGCTTGAGGCATTTTAAAAACAGATTTCATTGTTTTGAACATGACATATCAAATTAGATCTGTTTACATTGCAGTTTGAACGACAGGGTCGTAATGAGCAAACACTGATCAGGAGATCTCAAGACATTGCAAATATTGTTAGCAGGGTATGTATCACCTTTTCATAAAGGGCACAGAAAAATGTGTGTTTTATATTTATATATGTAGAATCTGTTGCTTGTTAATGATCAAATTAGTTTATCTCAGTCCTCGACTCTTTGAGGCTTCAAATGACCAGCCCTATTTTGAGACTCAGACAAATGGTGGTTAATCTTTTTCTGCTGCATAATTTTATTGAAGTTGCATTAAGACCTTTTATTGTTTTTATTTAATTTTTTTTAAATGGCCTAAATAACCTCCCTTCTTAGTTATGTCTCAGAAAGAAAATTGGACATAATGTCACTTTGTGCCTGATAAAGCTTAAAGGTATCAGACAGATCAGAGGAGACTGAAAAATCTAGCTCTGGGTAGTGTTTAATGTGTCTCACAGTTGGTAGAACATTGGACTGTACAAACTCAGTTGAAGATCCAGGATGTGTTGTTTCGACAATCCTAACTCTCAACTGTTTGCGTTTCTCACACTGTACCCCGCTTGCCTTGGATGGCATGCAATAGCACTCCTGTATATTGTTCAATAAGGTTGCCATCAGCTTCCACAAAAAGATCCAACACAGAATGACTTCTGCTGTGACAATAAACATAGCAAAATACCAAAACATTTCTGTATGTGAAAACTGAGAATCTGTGAAAACCTATGTGGTCAGACAGGTGAAGCCAGCATACCTTTACATGTCCTATCAGCCAATCAAATCATATGTACCAGGGTGAAAGGCAAATGTGTTACCATTGTGCCACCCTACCACTTATATTTTTGTTTTGTTACTGTTGTGAATGTGTCAGTGCCCTCTGTGTTGGTTTTAGCCTTGAGTTTTGCAGAATTTGTTTTTATGTACACACATGGTATCTGTAGTTTTCAGTATGTGAAAGGGACACACCAATTGCAATCTCCCTATAGCTACATATAGTGTTAACATATGTTAGTAATAAATTTGATATTATCACCTGAAATGTTATCATTCTTGTTCAGATGAGAATGTTGATTGTCTGACCTGAAGGTCTTTGACCTATCCACTGGACCAAATTCCTGTCGAGATTAAGGACACATTGTCTTGAGAGGGTGCTGTACCAGACATACAGAAATAGTTAGTCCAGTTGAGGGCACAATGAGGATAAAAAAGTCTGCACTCACTGACCTTCCTACTAATCCACTTCAGATGACAATGGTCCTGTCACTCCCACAAATCATAAGGAGGTGTCTCAGATAAAAGGAGATTATGGATGTGGGTCTGACATCATAAAAGAAATGACTATGGATGTTATGATTTACTATAGTCATTACTTTTGTATGATACAATTAGGGGAAAAAATGGGGGGAATTAAAACAGGCAGTACAAATAGTGCAGCATCAAAAATAGAACCTTATTTTACAAAAAGATAATCATTTAGCCTCTCTTGAAGTTTGTCATATGTATATATTTCAAATTTTAAGATGCAGAATTGATCTGTTTTCATATTAATGTAAATGTACGATTCTTTCTTCTTATTTGTGACCCTGGAGTTTACCTGGTAAAGGGAATACCTGAAAAAGAAATCATAGGAGAATTTTTCAAAAAGTTTGCTTAGAAGATACTGCACATTTCAATGTCAGAAAATAACTTTTCAATATTTTCATGCACTTTGTGATTGTGCAGATTGTCAGTCCAAAACTGGAAGTTTGGAAATGTTCTTATGATTTATTTATCACACATAGATAATTATATAGTATATGTAAATTAAATACAAAGAGGAGGAAGGGGGGAAAAAACCCATTATTACAGCAACAGTTCAAAGTTCCTTTTTTGGCATGCATATCTCACCTATTTGAATGAGTTTATATTTATGCTTTTCTAAAAGTATGACATGTTATTCTTTAATGATATGTTTTTTTACCATCCCCAAAGAATGTCTTATGTAGGTTTTTAACCTATACATATTTAAATCTGATGAGATGCACACTTTTTATATAAATTAGGGTACAATAATCTTAAGATAGTTACTGATGTGTATACTCTAGCTTATTTTCTGATTCAGGATCTTTTTGATCCTCTTCATTAGACTATAAAAACATATTATCTTTATGAGTTATAACATACCCAAGATTCTATCACGCAGTTATTGAAAGTTTGAAAACTTGACTGATTTTGCCTCTAAATATTCACAGAGTGTTTCTTATATTGCCAAACTTAGCTATTCATATTCATAATTTAATTGAAAGTTTTACAAAAAATGCCTGATATGAGCTGCCAACATCTAAAAGATGTACAACTGTATTGTCCTATTAGAGCTATTCCTCCTGGCTGATCAGTGTGTTTGAGTAGGAGTGTGGAGACCTTCCTTGTTTCCACAATCATAAAGTGCACAGGACACAAACACTCACACTTAACTTTGATATCAGATTCTGCTCTGTAACAATCAATGCTCTTTAGAACTTCCGTTGTTACTGTTGTATTGCACTGATTAAATACTTCAACATCAGAATATTGAGTGTTTTTGGTCATACAATTGGAGTATCATCTAATCCTACATCTAAACAGCTGATTGGTCTATTCGCTGAATATTATCGTAATCTGTTGTCCACTTTCGATTCTATGTACATTAATAAAGTTCCATGTTGTGACTATGCACAAGTGTCTGAAGAATTCTGGTCTGATCTAAACATTACACATAACACTGACATATACACTGACAATATTGGATATAGAGCACATAATAATTATAACAAATATTGCATGGTGCTGCAGGCAGTTATTACTTATAGAAACATGCAATATTTTTGATACCAAATCTAACCTAACATTATTTTTCACATGGCTCTTATCTAATACTAAAATCACTTTTGTTATACTATGCATGACTTTGGGATGGCAGTAAACATAAGAATTCAGTTTTTCAAGATGAAAGATTTGATGTTTTTTAAACCATACAGTCAATTACAGAGATCCTCCAGACTGTATATGATGGAGCTTTTATTTGTGATATTAATATTAATATTACATATACGATTTCAGGACTCATTTTCTTGTGTGTATTATGACATCTGAGTGTATTCAACTGGTCTGTTGTCCTTGACGCCAGGTCTTATATACTATAACAGTGACTGGAGCATAAAGTAGAATGATATAAACACTGAAACAGATGAGGTACAATGAATAGTTCCAATAGAAGAGTTTCTTAAGAATGCCATAACATCTATGTATGATTGAATTTCAGGAATTGCAAGAAATGAAATGTAAAGTGTTGTTTATTTTATGCCTGTTATTTTCAATGCACTTCACGGTTGTTTTGTAGCTCTACCGTCCTCTCAACATTTACATAGCTTTGGTTGGGGTCGAAATATGGTCCGAATCTGACCAGGTCACCATATCACCGTACGCCAATTCTTCACTGGAGAAATTCCTGTTGTATCGTAAACAGCGCATCAACCCCTACCATCAGAATGATAATGCTCAACTTATCACGTAAGTTTTACTTTTGATATGGCTGGTCCATTAAGATGTAAAATCCGAAAAATCGATAAGAGTTGTCAAAGTCATTCAATAATACATGTTATCATGATTTCATTAGCAGGATTGATATAAAAAAATGTTTGTAAAGGCCATGGGGAATTTTGAAATGACAGAAATACTGTATTTTCTAGGTTATAAGTCACACCGGTATATAAGCTACAGAGCTGATTTTTACCAATTTTTTTTATTTGATCCTTATATAAGCTGCACTGGAATATAAGCCACATGCTTTCTTACAAAGTGGTAACCGTTACGTTGACCAAAGTTTGTTGATATAACAGAAAACAGAGAGCAATTTATCCAGATCAATAGTGAAACATTTAATAAGGTTTGCAAAGGAATTATATACAGATAATCCTTTATTTCATTGATGTATTTCAAAAATCGTAAAATAGCAAATATTGAACTCGTTTGGCTTGGGTTCCTTTACAGATTGTCAACACACAGATATAGGGCCTGACGATACGTATGGTTTACAAGAATCTGTCCAGCAGTGTCTGTACTGTTAAATATTAATGATGGCCTTTACATGCTGACCAAATTCTTATTGTACAGTTGTCTTAATTTACTCAAAATGTTACCAATACTGAAATACAACCTTTATTAAGAGCTATTGAATGAGAGATATAAAACTGTTCATAGATATTATGGATAATATCAATTAAAAACTATGTTTGCAGGGGTCAGACATTCAATGATGGTGTTGTGGGGAAGGCCATCAAATCTTCCATATGTACCCATCAGTATTCTGGAGGTGTAGACATGGTAAGTGAAATAAACTGTACCAAGGTCTGGACAACTACATGACAATATAAATAAGATAGCAAGTGCTTAGATCAATACCTGGCTTACACATGACATTTGCCATATTGAATTTCATGTTACAGTCAATTTCAGAATTGTTGATAATAAATGTTGCTTTGTTGCTGTCATTTGATTAGTTTCAGTGGAATGTAGGGTTTAAGTTAATACCAGTAGGCTATGTGAATTATTTAATTGCATTCTATGTGTCATGTGAGATTCATTTCTTCCTTGTACTTCGGAAAATCTACCATAATAAAATGAGCTTTTGTGTCATGCTGATCTAATGCCAGACACATTAGGTGATAACATTCAGCTATTCTTAATCTAAATTTTATAACTGTCAGAGTGAAAGAAAACATCTATGTTGCCGCTGTTTTATCGCCTCAGATAAGCTTAGTAGTTTTGAAGTAGATTTTTAGCTCACCTGGCCTGAAAGTGATACTGCGACGCCCATCGTCTGTCAACTTTTACTTTATGTTGCAATTATTCATGAACGACTGAGCAGATATTAATCAAATTTGGTTTTAAGTATCCTTGGGGAAAGAGGAACCAATTTTGTGTAATTGATGGGTCTAGCCCCCTCGGGACCTGAGGGGCTGGGCCCAATAGAGAAAATCTGTCAACTTCTTAAAAATCTGTCTTGTTGTTCAGGAATTGCAGGATATTGTCCCAAATTGGTCTTGCACCTTCAAAAATTCATTTAGATCATTGGTTCTTTGAAACAGTTGTGATCCCCACTGATTAACTATAGCAGTGTAGAGAATCAGAAGATCAACACAATCATAACTGATTGTCTTAGGGTCTGGTCCCATTCAAGGACAGATTATAGCTTTGAAGCCACTGAGATTACCTTCCCATAACTTAATAGCATTGCTGGACATCAAGAGAATGACAACTGATCTCTTTCCCCACCCCTAGGAAATTTCAAGCTGTATTTGTGAGACAAGGCACATCAGGGGAAATGTTTTCCTTTTAAAGAAATGTAAAAGTTTGCATTATTGACTTAAATATCCAGGCAAGTGATACAGGCCCTCTGGACCTTTTGTTAGCTAATCTTCTCAAAGCACAAGTGAGCTTTGGCTATAATGCATCATTTGATGTCCAGTCTTAATTTAGCATGAACTCCCCTTTCAAGCAACTTCCTCCCAACAACAAGAGGACCAGAGTACTAATGATATTGGGCCAGTATCACGCAGAGATGAAGGAATACCAAAATTGTTTCAGTGAATGGCCTTGACCCACTTTCAAAATCACAGTGGTCAAATGTGTTAAAATCTTTTAACAACTTCTCCATAACCAAGAGGCCCAGGGTGCTGATATTGGGCATGTAGCATGCTTGGATGAAGTTTTAGCAAATAAATGATCTTTACCCATTCTCAATGTTACAATGGCCATAGGTATTAATTTATTTTAAGGAATTTTTTCTATAGGCAAAGTTAAGTGGTATTTGGCCTGTAGTTTAAATGAAGAGTTACCATTTTTACCTCAAAGGACCTTGACCTCTAATGATTGTCACAGAGGTTAAATGATCAAACATCTTCAAAATACAAAAAATGACATTCAAAAAGGTAATTGTCTTCATTGGAAGAAGTTCCATAATATTTGAAAAAAAACAATTTTATAAAAGATAATTTGTTAAATTGCTTATACATTAATCCACCCTGTAGGCCTCAGTTGTAAAATGTGTGTGAGCAACATTGAGTGACAGATTTAGACCTCATTTTCCCACTAAAATATTTTGGAGAGAAGATGTTGTTTGTTCATTTCACTCAAACAACTAGTGGTAGTGAAATGTTTGTAGTGGTGAAGCCATCTTTAGCTGGTAGATATTAGACCTTGATTAGTCCACTCTCATTCCCAGTGTAATTGTGTATGTATCAGCTGCATGGTTCTCATGTTTTATATATGACCTTTTGTCATGCAAAGGTGAAATGTGTAAAGATATCAAGTTTGGAGTTTATATCTCTATCCAGGTGTTTAATATAATGAAAGCTTAACAAACTTTATGAAACAAATGTTCTGGTATGATACCTCTGAGCATGATAAATGTACATTATACAAATTATCTTTTCTTCCTGTTTCAATTTATTAGCATCAACATTTTGTTTAGAAATCCGGCTGAAATGGTAAATGAAGTATAGGTGGTGAAGCTGACAGTTTGGTAGCTGTTTCTGATGACACTGGAAGCTTGATGTTAGAAGTTATTTTGTTTCTTTTAGTCTTCATCACAACATGGCAGATCAGGCATTTACTTTCATACCTGATTGTCACTCCTTAGGAGCTGTTACAAGGGTTTTCTGAAGGTTGTTATACATGATAGAGCACTTTGCAAAGATTATTAGCAATGCCTTGAGATGTATTATAAAGGACTCCTGTGTGGATCACTCCAACAGATACTTCTTACAGATCATATGTATTGATCTCTCAAAGGGATACACAACCCAATGGATCACTCCAAGGAATACATTACACAGATCACAACACAGATCACTACCAGGGACACATAACACAGATCACAACACAGATCATAACACAGATTACTACCAGGGACACATAACACAGATCACAACACAGATCACTACCAGGGACACATAACACAGATCACAACGCAGATCACTACACAGATCACTACACAGATCACTACCAGGGACACATAACACAGATCATAGCACAGATCACTACCAGGGACACATAACACAGATCACAACACAGATCACTACACAGATCACTACCAGGGACACATAACACAGATCACAACACAGATCACTACCAGGGCCACATAACACAGATCAAAACATAGATCACTACCAGGGACACATAACACAGATCAAAACATAGATCACAATACAGATCACTACCAGGGACACATAACACAGATCACCACACAGATCACTACACAGATCACTACCAGGGACACATAACACAGATCACAACATAGATCACTACCAGGGACACAGATCACAACACAGATCATAACACAGATCACTACCAGGGACACATAACACAGATCACAACACAGATCACTACCAGGGCCACATAACACAGATCAAAACATAGATTACTACCAGAGACACATAACACAGATCAAAACATAGATCACAATACAGATCACTACCAGGGACACATAACACAGATCACCACACAGATCACTACACAGATCACTACCAGGGCCACATAACACAGATCAAAACATAGATCACTACCAGGGACACATAACACAGATCAAAACATAGATCACAATACAGATCACTACCAGGGACACATAACACAGATCACCACACAGATCACTACACAGATCACTACCAGGGACACATAACACAGATCACAACATAGATCACTACCAGGGACACAGATCACAACACAGATCATAACACAGATCACTACCAGGGACACATAACACAGATCACAACACAGATCACTACCAGGGCCACATAACACAGATCAAAACATAGATCACTACCAGAGACACATAACACAGATCAAAACATAGATCACAATACAGATCACTACCAGGGACACATAACACAGATCACCACACAGATCACTACACAGATCACTACCAGGGACACATAACACAGATCACAACATAGATCACTACCAGGGACACAGATCACAACACAGATCATAACACAGATCACTACCAGGGACACATAACACAGATCACAACATAGATCACTACCAGGGACACATAACACAGATCACAACACAGATCACTACCAGGGACACATAACACAGATCACAACACAGATCACTGCCAGGGACACATAACACAGATAACAACATAGATTACTACCAGGGACACATAACACAGTTCACAACATAGATCACAACACAGATCACTACCAGGGACACATAACACAGATCACAACACAGATCACAACACAGATCACTACCAGGGACACATAACACAGATCACAACATAGATCACTACCAGGGACACAGATCACAACACAGATCACAACACAGATCACTACCAGGGACACATAACATAGATCACAACACAGATCACTACCAGGGACACATAACACAGATCAGAACATAGATCACTACCAGGGACACATAACACAGATCACAACATAGATCACTACCAGGGACACATAACACAAATCACTTGTATTTTTATCACTCCCAGAAATTCATAATAATTTTACTAATTTTGTCCAGTGATAGCTCACCAGACCTATTTCTTTTGCATCACCCTTAGGATCATAAACAAGATTAAATTATTTGGTATGTGATTCATACATATGAATTACATGTGTATGTTTGTTACCTATGTTTCAAAAAGAGACAAAGAAAATACTTGCCAGTCACTCTTAGAGACCAATAGTTTGATGACATGTACTAATTATGCTGTATTAGCCATTTAGATATGACTATTTTTACTTGAGATATTCTTTTCTTTTTCAGGATCGTACTAGGATAACCCATGTGGCCACTACTGTTGCCCACGAGCTGGGTCACAACTTTGGAATGGACCATGATAACTACTCTGTATGTCGTTGTAAACAAGAGAAGTGCATAATGGCGCCTACTAGTGGAGGGTACATGTATTTTTATGATCTTATTTCAGTATGGAACAAGATGTATTATACTCAGATATTTTCCGAGTGGTTGTTGCAGTTTTTAGGTCCAGTGAATTGACTGAATTTTGATCTGATATTGCGCAAGTTGATCTACTTGTGGCTAAACTAATTTCTTGACAAGCAAAACAGTATTGTAGGTGTTAGTACTTGTCAATTAACATTGGAACTCCAGTAAGAGACATATTTGAGAAGGCATTTAGATGATTCTAGCGTTATAATTTGTACTCTGGTTATCATTCCAGGTCCCCAAGTCCATCTCAGTGGTCCACCTGTTCTAGAGTTGCAGTCATAGAGGCATTTGACCTTGGTATGGACTACTGTCTAAAAAACATGCCAGAAAACCTGTATGAGGGACCGGTCTGCGGGAACACATTTGTGGAGGAGGGAGAAGAATGTGACTGCGGTCTGGTGGAGGTACTTTACTTTTCATATTTCCAAGTACTGCCATGTAATAGAATGGACAGCTTGTTATGTACTATAGTACTTATGCCATATAATATGTTAATGGGTACTTTCTTTCACGGTTTAAACCTGAGACATCATACCATAAGGTTTTTGTAGATACCATATATCTATACAATTGTCATGCGATTCATCTGCAGTCTTTTTTGTCGAAATTCATTTCGTGAATTGTCTATACAGGTTTTTTTTCTGGAGGTTCTGTGGGGTCAAATATTGGACCCAGTCCCAATTAGTTTACTCCTTAAAACTTCCTTTCCAATAGATCAATTATTCAAAATATTGAAAAGGGTCTTTCCCAAATGAGTGGGAAATAGCTCTGCAGTAGCTGTGAAATCAACAATTATTTTTCACTTTTAATTATGTGGTAAAATGATACAACTGTTACATTTCTTAAAATTCAAATGAATTAAATCAATATGTGATATGTTTATGACTGCAGGACTGTACTAGTAAGTGTTGTAATGCTACAACATGTCGACTGAAATCTGGAGCTGAGTGTGCCACAGGAAGCTGTTGTAACCAAGACACTTGCAAGGTATAGTTGTATGCCACAACCTAATTATTTTTACCTAGAAAGCAGAAACCACATCAGGGAATTATTTTGTCTCTGATTATAGAATTTGAAGCTGAAGTTTTATTTTAAATTTGATACTGTTGTCTTGAGTTTTGGTAGCTTCGTCAGGCCAACACTTAACCTCTCACTGGTAGTCAGGTTTTGGTTTAATACAAAACGTTAATTCCTTCCTTGTTTCAGCCCAAACCTGCTGCTACCCTGTGCAGGGCAGCCATGGAGGAGTGTGATCTGGCAGAATTTTGTAATGGAGAATCTGAGTACTGTCCAAGTGATGTGTATCTCCAGAATGGTCTCGCCTGTAAGGACAAACGGGTAAGTTGTATGTCTCTCTTGTAAGGACAAGCACTGTAAAAGAAAGCATATGTTTCATAAAAAATATTTCTTTGAAGTTAAGATGAAAATGTCAAAGGCTGTAAATGTAGCAACAAGCTTTAATTGTATGTTTTACAGTCATACTGCTACCAAGGCCACTGTAAAACTCACACAGACCAGTGTCGTATGTTGTGGGGGTCCACTGGGCGTGTGTCTGACCCAATCTGTTTCCAGCATCTTAACACTAATGGAAGCAAACATGGTAACTGTGGATATGATTGGAAAAGGGAGCAGTACTTACGCTGTGATAAAGAGTAAGTCATGTCATTCACTGCTTATAGTTATAAACCAATTTTCTACACAGAAGTATCAAAGAAAGCTTATCAGCTTTTCATTTAATTGGAAAAAAGTGCTAAATATTCTCAATTCTACACTAGTATTTAATTGTCACATTTCAAGCTAATAGATTTTCTGATACTTTTCATAGATATGATTTAATACCATCGTTTTTTAACCCTAATTCCAGAGACACCTTTTTTTAAAGATTGATTTTTTTAATTGCAGTGACGTGATGTGTGGGTTGCTTCACTGTGTACATCTGAATGAGAAGTTAATGTTCTGGAGAGAGAGTCTAGCTAAGGCTACTCCAGCCACCTTCCTCACCAAGGGCAGAGAACGATATGTGTGTCGTTCAGTCATCCTGGATGTTGGATTAGACATGCCAGATCCTGGCATGGCACCAGATGGGGCTAAGTGTGGTGACAAGAAGGTACATGCAATCAAAACACAAAGGAATCTCATTCATTTTGATGCTGTTCTTGTTTCAACTAGCTTTTCTGTTACTCCATCCACCATTCAGAAGTGCCTGAATTAACAGGATCTTAATGGTGTTTCAAAACAATTTTCATATTGGTATTGTTTTCATTTACGATGGAATCTTATTTTGTCATTTTCTTTCATATATATATATATATGTGTGTGTGTATATATAAATAAACATCCTCTTTTTAACTTTGCAGATTTGTCTTTCTAACAAGTGCACTCCACTCAGCAGGCTGCAGATTTTGCCCTGTCCAAACTGTCATGGCAATGGGGTATGTATATTCCCTTACTTTGATGGTTATATCTGTGTTTTGCAATCTTGTTAATTGTTACTAAGAACAGTAGATATTATCTGACTTGTGAAAAGAATATGGAACATCTACACTGAAATCTAATAAAGATATTTGAAAATAACAGTAAATCATTCTTACCTTGATTTCCTACACTGAAACTGTGTCCTTTTGCATAGGAATCAGAAATTAGAAATTGGAATCTCACAGAAATTTGAAATGAAAAATTAGATACAAAGATTTTTTAAAGGTAATTTTGTGATGCGTTTATGATTTGTAGGTTTGTAACAGTATGGGTCAGTGTCACTGTAACGAGGGGTTTGGACCACCTTATTGTAATGGCCCTGGACATGGTGGTAGTACACACAGTGGACCAATGAAGACCTTAGGTAAACCTCTCTGATCATTGTGTTTAGTTTATAGATCCCCTCTGTGTAGTAAACATTTATAATTGGTGATTTATTTTATATGATATCGGATCAAGCTATTTCAATTTAATGTTTAACCTCATAAATATGAGCTCTGATAGGCAGGAAATCACATGTAGCCACTGTAGGCAATTACTGGGGAATAGTTTTGATTTCGATCTGGGAAATTATTATTGTTATGAAACAAAATTTTAACTTCATTTGCAGTACTGGGAATGTTACTTATTACTTATTACTCCATCCATGACAAGTTCTTGTGGGGAAAATATGATATTTTCTATAGGCATTTAAGGTCAGGCATTTTTACAACCACTGATGTCCTTTTCAGTGATGCTGGTTGATTATCGGGATGATCACTTGATAGCAATTTACTTGATATGGTAATGATAAAAAACTAGAAATCTTTAACATATGAACTATCTGGAAAATAAAAAAGATTGTTTGAATTGCCTGGGTAGTAGTGTAATTGGATAATGAGGTTTTACATTGTGTTTTTTGTATTGTTGTACTTAAATTGTATTTACTATAAACTGATTATAGTAGAATATTATTTTTCTCGCACTGCCAATAAATGTTAGATATGAGAAAGCAAATGCACTATATACTTAGATGTCGGTTGAACACTTTTTTTTTTTAAATGTATTGAGATATGGATTTGTCTAGTGCTGATATCAAAATTTGATAAGTACTAATTAACATTAACCAAATATGGACACAGTTTGTCATCGTCTCAAACCTTTCTGACTTAATTGTAAAATGGTGCATTGTATACCCCTTGGTACATGCATTCTTCAGGTAAGTAGGGTCATAACCAAGCTATGGGTCATCGTAGAAATTAAGCATTTCTAAACATGCAACATTATGTGCATTGTTAAATGGTTGGAGAAGTGGATACTTCCATCAAAACATATAAAACTTCATTCTCTCATTAGACTGAACAATTTGGGTTACCTGAACATAAGTGCACAAGGTTTACAGCTAATTTGTGACCGGTGCATATGCATGAAGTCAAAATGCAAATTAGTGATGGTCATAATTGTTGTGAAGTAACTAATAGATCTTTTTTTTTTTTTTTTTAAATACAGTATTTATGATTTACTATGGCTAACAGACATTCACCATACAATTGAAAATACAGAATGTACCGTAATTGTAACATGGTCAGGGTTACAGATTTTCTAGGTTTTCCTTATTTTTCTTATTGATTTCAGTTTTAATATTTTACCTTTGTTGAATCTGTTTATAATACAGTAATAAATGTTAATAGGATGTTTGAAATTGTGATTGATATTCCTTTCAAAAGTTATTAAGAAATTTCAGTAATTTAGGAATAAAGAGTATATTCAGGAAATGTTATATGTACTTAAACTTTGACTGACTTTTGATTATGTGGTTACAAATCGGTACTTTGTAGTATCACAAGATGTCCAGGATAAAGGTAGGTCACTACAGAAAATACATCCATCGTTTCTCCCATCAACTTGGACAACTAGCTTTTATTTTTGAAAATTGTCAGCAAGCTTTATCATTTGAAAATAGAACAGCTAGTGTCTCAATTTTGCAGAAAGCTTTGACAGCTAGCATTTACATTGGAAAATTAGAAAGCTTGGCTTCTGTATTAAAAGATATTTCAAATACCAGCAAATGATCTTAGAAATTAGACTACCTTATTGGTAAGCAAGATTCATTATAATGACTCATTATAATGGAATCAAGCTCTTATATTAACCTAAACCTAGGAGCTATAGCTCTTCCATAAACGGAAAATTCATAATTTATATATTTTATATAACTATTAATTTTTGGAAATTTGTACAGCTGGTTCTATGTACTTAAACACTTATATTTGGAGAATACATATTATGAAACAATCTTTTTGAAAGTTTTGCATCAATAGATATATTTACATTTGTAGTGCTTGTAAAATTTATTCCATGGTCATCATGAAAGACACGTTAGTAAGATTTTATTCAAAGTAGAAAAATAACCCTTCTCCCTGCTGAAAGTTTTTGTAGTCATATGACAGTTAAGGCCCGTGGGCCTCTTGTTTAACTTTATTTGTTTATTTTTTATAGGAAATAGTTCAAACCAGGTTAGAATTATTAGTTTAAGATGACAATAAAATGAGATGCACATATTGACCTCAACTGACCCCAATGGGTTGTTGGGTGGGGCAAAATATGGGTCAAATTGACTGTTTCAAAAATCTTCTTAACAATACGGAGATAATGTAGAACTAAATACCCTTCATAGTGTCTTACAGTGCTTTGTGAAAATTGTGGAGGGGTAAAATTTATTGTATTTTATATAGAAAAACAACATTTTTGAGCATAACTTTTTTATTTTCTCTCAGAAATAGTTCAAACTTTTTTTTTTATTAGTATAAGCTGACAGTTTGATGAGATGCACATATTGACCTTGATTAACTCCCAGGGGCTGATAGGTGGGGTCAAAAATGGGTCAAATGGACTGAAATTCCAAAGATGTTTCACTGTTCCTGGACGGAAGATTTTATATAGACAAATACAAATCTTGAATGTAATTTCTTTTTATTCAAACTTGGTTAGAAGCATTTGCATGGGACAGCAGTTAATGTATACACAATTAACATTAGCTGTCATGTGTACACTATAGTTAAAGTTACATTTTTTTAACTCTTTTTTTAATAATCATTTCTAGGAAATGCTACAAGAAGCATTGTGATTTAGGTGACTGTTAAGGCCCCCTTGGCCATCTTGTTTTCTGTTTATGACTAGTGGTTAATTATATGATTGTGATATTTATTGGACAAGCGAAATTTGAGATCAAGTAATTAAAGTTACCAACACATCTAAACTTCTGTAACTATACAAATTAAGGAAAGCAATTCAGCTCCACTCAAAATAATTTTAGATTGATAATATACAAAAGTGGTTTTAGAACATGAAAAAAAAATGCTACATAGAATTTAAAAAAATAACTCCTTTTACAATGTCAAACTTGTTTTACCCTTATTGTACCAAAATCCAGTCTTTAATTCCATAAATAATTGTTCACTCTGTAAGTTGGGCACAGCGAAGCATGAGAATGAATTTTATTGGATTGGGTTTTTTTCCTTCTATGTAACCATCAACTTCTGTTGAGGAAGCCATGTAATCGTGTCAGGTTTTCCTGGTTTTATTTTGAACACTTTTTTTTCCTCTGTTGACAGATTTCGGTGATTTTCCCGTCTTATATGTATTTATGTATGCAGTTTTGAGATTATATGAGAATCCTTTTTTGAAGTTTTTTTCTGTTTTTTTATTTTCATTTTGCATTTTATTGTTGCCATTTATAATTTCATCAAAAGTAAATGTCAGACATATGCTTATTAGCTATCAAGTAAAGCTTTAATAAGTAAACAGTGACTATGGTGTATATATGTTTAAACAAGTGTTATTTTACACTTTACACCATAGTAGTATTCAATATATAAGTACTTTACTTTTGCTTATTGAAGTGATATTTCATTTTACACTAGCTTGTCCCATTAGTATGGTAATACACAGGTACAACTTTATATTAAGTTTTAGATCCAACTGCTTGTAACAGCTAGGAACACCTATTCCTACAATATACATGTTCATTTATTTCATATCTTTCTCTTATAAAATTTTTAATAGCTTGCTATTAGGTTTCTATTTTGCTAAACACATTAGAGTGTTTCTATGTCTTTAATATAAATCTCATTTTTGCAGTTCAAATAGGATATTCTGATTAATATGGGTTTGATTAGAAATATCTTGCCCTTCAGAGAGTTTGAAAGATGGCATAAATATTATAATAAAATTTGATTGAAATATATAGATGACATATAGATTCTTGAATATGTTTGCTTTTAAAAGATAGGCCAAAAGTATTCGCAGTATAATAATATTTATCGATAAGCTTGGATGATGTTGATATTTATATTTTACTGTCAGTTCTGTTATATCAAGAGTGAAGTCAGGAATTTTGAGTCTGTAGAGTTGCCCTTGTCAACATTTGAGTTTATGATTAAGGGTGATCTGGTTTTAAGAGATAAAGAATCAGGTCTGTAGATCATGTGATCTATTAAATCATAAATCTAAATCTGGAAAGTTAGAATAATCTTGCATTACACTTTCATATCAGTGGAATTGATGGAAATCTTGTGAAGGCAAAAGTTTTAAGGTAGAGCTTGATAAAGAAAACATTGAGTCAGTAAAGTCAAGGTTGATCTTAATTATCTTGTAAGACAGAAGTTTGATGTAAAGTCAAGGTTGATCTAAATTATCTTGTAAGGCAGAAGTTTGATGTAAAGTCAAGGCTGATGTTAATTATCTTGTAAGGCAGAAGTTTGATGTAAAGTCAAGGCTGATCTGAATTATCTTGTAAGGCAGAAGTTTGATGTAAAGTCAAGGCTGATCTAAATTATCTTGTAAGACAGAAGTTTGATGTAAAGTCAAGGTTGATGTTAATTATCTTGTAAGGCAGAAGTTTGATGTAAAGTCAAGGCTGATCTAAATTATCTTGTAAGGCAGAAGTTTGATGTAAAGTCAAGGCTGATCTGAATTATCTTGTAAGGCAGAAGTTTGATGTAAAGTCAAGGCTGATCTAAATTATCTTGTAAGGCAGAAGTTTGATGTAAAGTCAAGGCTGATCTAAATTATCTTGTAAGGCAGAAGTTTGATGTAAAGTCAAGGCTGATCTGAATTATCTTGTAAGGCAGAAGTTTGATGTAAAGTCAAGGCTGATCTAAATTATCTTGTAAGGCAGAAGTTTGATGTAAAGTCAAGGCTGATCTAAATTATCTTGTAAGGCAGAAGTTTGATGTAAAGTCAAGGTTGATCTTAATTATCTTGTAAGGCAGAAGTTTGATGTAAAGTCAAGGTTGATCTAATCTTATAAAGACAAAAGTTTGTGTCATAAACTTAAGGTTAGCATATAAAGGCCAAATTTTGAGTCAGTATGAAGTTGGTCTTGTAAAGACAAGATCAAAATTAGTAGAGTTATTGGGATTTTGTAAAAGCAGTAGCTAGAGTCAGTAATTAAGGTAATTCTTTTAAAGACAAAGGTATGTAGAGTTATGACATAGTAAAATTAAAAAATATGAATTATTTTTTGACCTTGTTCTATTGTGATGTTACAGAGGACAACAGTCTATTGATCGGGATGCTAGTCTTCTTTGCCCTCTTTGTCATCCATTGTCTCCTCTGCCTCCTTGCCTACTATCACAGAGAGAAACTGACCAAGTGGTGGAACCAACGTGCCTCTGCTCTCAAGTACAGGTATGTATGCAGAATTACTCATAGGGAAAACAATTCATTAAAGAAGCCAATTATTTTTGCGTTCTTTATGTTTTCCTGTTCTATTTTTGTTATGTGATTGATATTTAAGCCAATTATGAATGAAAGGTTTTAGAAAAATAATCTGATTACTAGAATAATGACTGTAATTATTTCTTAAACACTTTTAATTACAGTGTACCATCTTTGCCAAGCATCAAACTGGCTTCTAGGAACAAAAGACAACCTCCTCCTCCTCCACGTCCCGGGGCAGCAGTTGGAGGAGGGGCACGGGAGCCAAAACAGACAAGTGCTATGATGAGAAATGGAAATGTTTCTGTGGAAATTTCCTCACCAGTATTACAGGATAGCACTCCAAACCAATCACAGTCCTCTTCTCACACACTGAAGATTGGCAAAAAGCCTCAACCACTGCCAGCCAGAAATGTCACTGCCCCTAATACAGAAGAGCCAACACAAAGTGAAAAACCCATGTCAGCATTCTCAAAGATGATCAACAGATCTGGGGACTCATCATTTCAGTCATTTTCAAAGTTACTTAACCGATCTAAAGAAAAGGAATCACCAAATTCATCTCCAAAGCCACCACTTAAACAAGTAACATCAAATCCCTTGTTTCAACCCACAGATCCCATAGTAAAGAAGGATTCTTTTAATCGTGATCGTGAAATATCAAAACCTGTTTTAATCAGCACAACAGATCGCAGGTCTAAAGCCTTTGTAAAGGACCATAGTTCAGACAATTTTGAAGAAGATCATGGATTTTCATTTGCTGATTCATCAATTTCACCTCCACCACCACCTGCCCCTCGTCAGGCTCCTCCACGCAGGAATAAGTCAGGGAGGGCTCCACCTAGACCCACTTCTCTCCCACCACAGCCACTCAAAGAGAAGCTCCGTAAAGAGGAAGAGAAACAACTCACTAGAAAATCTGTGGTCGACCCTGGAGCAAGGTCACCTCCCCGGCCACCACCCCCTAATGTAAATAACCAATCACAGTCTTTCTCACAACAGCAGGAAATGCAAATACAGCCAGTAAGTTTCAGTAACCAGGGTCGTAGGTTGAATTTGAATCCAAACTTGCACAACAGTAGAAATGCCAGCAATTTTGATGAGCCCATCCCAGCTCCAACTCCACGAGTTTTTATAGACAAAAGTCGAATTAAACATGACTCCAAGCCCAGTGGACAATCATCTTCCAGCAAAACTAATGCTGTGGCAAATAAAAAACCAGATAGACATCCAGCTGGTGAATCAAAAGCCAACGGTAGAGTTCCTTTATCTACAAATGCTACAAAGACTTCTTTTGATCTTAAAGGCAAAAATGTGTTGCCAAGTAACAACAACAACAATAATTTATCATCTGACTCCAGGTCAAATTGGAGGTCAGATATGACATCACATAAAAACAATATACCAGAGCCTGCAACAAGAGGCTTTCACCATATACCAGACAATAGATCAGGTAAGAAGTCAAATGACCAAAAACCTAGACAAAAAGGGGATGTGTCCCAACCCAGACAAACAGGCGATGTGTCAAAAGCACGCAAGCCTTTGCAGAAATCATCCACTCAGTCACAGAGTCGTATACGTGAGACTGATATAATTGACAACAATGCCAATCCTGAAGAGGGGTCAGGATGCGTGGCTGAAATTAAGGCCATGTTTGATGAGATGGACATTGGGCGAAGTCTGTCTGATAGCCCAGAAAAAGAGTCAACTCCTTCTCCTGTATTGGCTAAGGTGACAAGAAACAATTCGGGGTCAGTAGATCGACCCAAACCACCACCTAAACCAGGTCAAGGTTCAGCCAAAGTCAAACCAAGTCAAGGTTCGACAAAGGTCAAACCAGGTTCAAAGGTCAGAAGTGTAAATGTTTAATATTTTGTGACAACTTGATTGAAGGAAAATGCTATGAGTGATGGAAGATATATCCTCAGTTTAAAGCAACGTTTGACTGTTTAAAAACTTTCTGTGCTCTTGTTGCTGTTTTTCTTGATTCACTGTAAAAAGGTAACCACTGAGTTTTTTTCAGATTGAATTAGTTACTGTTTTGATTTGATTTGCTCTCTCACATTCATCCACAGTGTATCTGCATGGTAAACTGAAGAAATTGCTTCTCATGTCGTATGAATGATATCATTATACAGTACTATCTAAATAACTATATCACATTAAAGAGAATCAGGTCATACTATGTTATTGTACATTATTCTCACGTATTTGTGATAACGTGTGGTAGTTTGGCCAGTATATTTTCAACTAATTTACTTCATAAAAAGGAACAATGATTTTTGGTGGTTAAATAACTTGAGAGTTATTAAAAACATGGGAATTTTAAACTTCAAAAATATTTTTCATTCATTCATATAAATTTATTCTTGTATGAAAATAATTTTTGAAGAAAGCAAACTACAGTAATCTTTTAATTTGTATTTAAATTATAGGAGTAATATAGAGGTTTACAAAATTGATGTAAGTGGGATTGGTAAGAAAAAGGCAGTTTGACAAGCAGTCATATTGTAATTATAAGATTATGTCACCAGACCCAAATATTTTAAATTGCTTTATGTAATTGGTGAACAGAATAGTAAACAATGCTTTTGATAATAAGTTTAAATGTAGATTAAGATGTTTTACCATAAAGCAGTGTGAGGGAAATTTAGAGCCAGATATGAGAGATGTGAGAATAGAAACATCTTGTTTAGTGAACTGAAGTTATATGGCATTGGGTCTGGATCTGCTCTACTTTATTGTAATATATAACAAATGTTGATTTTAATTTTTCATATATGTTTTGGATAATATTAAAAACAAAACTAAAGCAATTTCAATTTTTGATAGACATACAATCACTGCACAAAAACATTAACTGTACTGTCACAAATATGTTATTAAAATGACACAGAAACCTTAACACCAAAATGTTAGTAATGAGTTTAAATGCAATAACTAATTGGAGTAACTGACATTAATAAAATACATATATTTCTATTTCCGGTAGATTTTCCAATATAGTTGTATCAACACTAATGTGCATTTTATGAAGTATTAAAGACCATAGAGTATGGAATCTCATGTGGTAATCTAATTGCCAGTATAACAAATGGCATTTAAATATAAGAATGTGTGATTGATAGCCACATTGTTAATATTCCCAGTATCATTTGATTTAAATTTTTTAAAAAAATTTGTATGATGCAAAATTGCATAAAAAAATATCTACAAACATTAGGAAAATGATGTCAAAATATACTTTAAAATTTGAAATTTGAAATTCACACTAGGAAAATTCTGTTGTACATTTTAGGGAAATAGATCACAATTATTTTGTACATCTCTATTGTTAAAGTAAAAGAGATATGACTCTCCAAGAATAAGGCAATGGTGGATTTCATTGGATACCTGTCGAAATTTGCTATGAAGGGTACTTATTATTGGAGAGGGGAACAGATTAGTCCATAAAACACAAAAAAGGATTTGCAGTTGGGTTTTTGCACTCTCTGACCTATTGACCTAATAAAGGACTTAACTGTGCCATTTTGAGATTTCTTTCATAAATTACAATATGAATGAATAATGACAACAGTTTCAATTTTTATAATGATATGAAAGTTCTTGATCTTTCTGATGCATATCTGATCTATTTTGGAATTAATGGACTGTTGGTGCCGATATAACTTGTTCTTTGAGGTTGTTCCATATTTTGAATAAGCACTGAGGAAAAACATTTTTCCTGATATCTAGTTTACAATGCTGCAAAAACAGTTTTTATGAATGTTCTCTTGTCCCATCTTTGGACCATGTCGTTCTAGAGTTAAAGAAAATCTGCTGCTTCATTATCGTAGGTAATATCATAAAATAAACATTGAAAATAATAAGAAAAAAGTCCTGTTACATTGCAGTGATGATGGAATATTTTCCTTCTCTTGTTTCCTTTGATGTTTGCAAAAGAAAGCATTTAACAGTCATTTGTTGATAATAATTAGTCAATTAAATAACTGATCAGATGTACAAAAGGTGATAAGGAATACAGATATTGAAAACACTACAATGGCTGTGAATTATTCAATAATACAAATTAATAGTTTAAATGTAGATAACTGCCATGAATCACATCCCTAAGTTAGCAGACTATTTTATAGCCAGATTGTCTTCATATTGCTTAATATTATCATATATGCTTGTATCACATCAATGGCCTGTTATCCAGTGCATTCAACCTTGTAATATCACTAGTTTGATAAATCCTTGAGCTTTTTCATTTTGCTGCACCAATCAGATGTAATCAATATGTCAAAATACAAACAATGATGTTAAATCATGAATTGAAAATGGCGTAACAAAATGGCTGCCTTTGTTCAATTGTCCTCCACATTTTTACTTCAAAATCTGACAAAATGTATCATTTTCTGTGTCATTTGATAACAAGTATTTTAAATTGGTTTTCATTTCATATATGTTTTGAGACTTGCTTTGAGGTTTTAATGTTTACTTGCCAATGCTTGCACAAATGAAAAATTCAATACTCATAAAATCCCTTGAAATGAAAACAAATTTAAGGTTTTTTATGTATTCAATTGTAGAATTAATTATTAGTTAATATGTAGTCCTCATATACATCAATACCAGATAGTTGTACTCTTTCATAATTCTGCTGATACATGTACAAACAAGATGCTGAAAAATGTTCTTGTTTAACTTAAAACCTTTAAGTTGTTGTTCTGTTGAAAAATATTCTATCAACATATAATAAATCAGGTGTATGTTACCTAATTTTTATTTGCCATGTTTCTATAGTGTTTTTTTCTTAGTTTCTGTAATGTGTTCAGGCGATACAAGTTATGGCCCTCAAAAGATAGCACATGAGTGTTAGTGTTCATTATTATTCTCACTTTGTGACTTTCCCAAGAACCAGTCTGAAACATCTAGTCAAATTGTCAAGAGAAATTTTATTTTGAAATGTATATCACATTGTTGTCAGTTTTTATAGAAGTACCATCCCATCACAAACCTTTTTGTTCTTTAGCTGTTCAAACACTATAGTGTAAACTTTATGAACACATGATGATGGTTTAACAGGAAAACTTCTCTAGAACACTATGGAAAGTGTATCCAATGATAGTTACCAGGTACCTCATTACTTTTTACTCTCTACACCTTTCTTAACCATCTGTGATTATTAGAGATTTGAAAATCTCATTTTATTGTTTTTTTTTCTTTTTGTGTTTTATTTATTTATTGTTCAAAACATGGATGCTTGCTGATGAGACTTTTATCACAGCAATTACAGGAATATTATTGGCTAAATCATTTAGATGAAATTTTTATTATAAAAATGAAAAATCTAGGGGAAGGATGATAAATTTCAGTATTATTTTTGTTAATGTAAGGCATTTTCTTTGTGAATTTGTAATTACTGAAAGATTAAGAGAATCCGGACACAGTATTTTTCATATTTCGTGTCATTACATTTTTCATTTGTTTATATATAATTAGAGCATGTTGTCTTTCCTGTGTGTGCTGTATCATGTGTAACATTTACTTAAATATGCTGTATTCACTACCAAGGGTTTTAATTGCAATGATTAAACATCTGGTTTGTTGTAAGGTTAATGCTGTGTGGATGGGAATTTTCATCAAACTTTGAATGTATTTACATCAGGTGCACAATTACCTCCCTTGACAGCATCAGATTTATTTTGCCCCCTTCTTTTCTTTATCAAAAGCCTGAAATATGTAATTATACAGTAATTAGATAAAAACTTTAGAATTTTCGCCAAGGAATTTATTTTATGAACCCAAATCTAAGAAATTTGGGAGTTTTAAAATCATGAAACAGAAATTCTCAATTAACTTTGAAACTTAGTTTAGTAACACTTAGACACAATAATCAAAGTCATTTGGTTGCATTTAATGTAAATATATTACATCAGTTGTTATCTTCAGAGGTAAACTGGTAATATCTCATTTGAACCAGTCAATGAAGAAGTTTAAACTGCCGTGTCAAAATTGAAGGCAAGACCTATTGTTAAACAAAAAACTTACTACCTTCATTTTGTTTTTATAAATGACTGAAGCATTTGGTTTCAATTATTTAAAACAGTTATTTTTTACAGGAATTTTTCTGAAGGCTTATCCTGACCTGTAACATTTTTCAAATCAGATGTAATTTTATCTTTATTCTGTAACAGCTTTGTTGAGTCAGCTGGCTGCCCACGCCCACATTGAAAAATCATCAGAAATATGAATGTGAATATGTTACTGTATTGAGCCATATTACAATATTCATAATAAATGTATCGTTATATACCATAGTATGTATGCAAGTTTATATGTATGTATGATGGAGAGTGCATATAACTGTCACGCAGGTGTAACTGTTATCTGTTGTTTGAAGGATACCTATATGTATATATGTGTGATGTATGCACCTAAAAGTTATGTGATATTGGACAGGTCCAAGATAAATGATTCCATTGCTACAAAGCATAGTTATCTCCCTTGTAAGTAGGCACTTATAGACATTGGAATTTTATGCAAATTGAAAAAAAGGAAAAGGAAAAAAAAAAAACCAATCTGAATACAAAATCATAATTGTTTTTAGTGATGCATCTTTGTGATAGAAATGAAAGCATAAGATTTATTTGAATTGTCAATGTCTATGCTGTAAAATTTGCTTTGTAGCATGGCTTATCTGACCTAAGGCGAGTGTGTGAAATCATAATCACCACACATTATATAAGCTACTTGTGATGTACATACTCATTTACTCATAATTATCTCTGCTAGAATTATTGTGTTGAGATTTTAACTTATTGATTTTTTAATGACAAATAGCAGGTTTTCATTTTAATTTCTTACTATGAAAAGTTGTTAAAGGTGATCTGTGCAGATTCTGTCATGGAGATCAGCCTGAGCCATCGCGATACAGTTTACAGGAATTGAAGTGAGATGTAATGCTTAGTAAGTTCTACAATTGTCTGTCAGTTTGAATATACAAATGTTTGAAATAGTTTTAACATAAAGCTAGATAGTTATCCTGGCAATGATTTTAAATGGAAATTTATGAATGTGGTCAACTAGTTTTATTGACGCCATATTGAAGTCTGCTTTGTGTAAAAGTTTCAGATCCTTCTAAATCTTTCAAGTATCTTTTCAGATGAAGAAAATCCATTTTCCATTAAAAAGAATTGAATTTAGAATATAGCACTAATGTAAATGTTGATGTTAACAACCTACATCAGGATTGCAACTGATTCAACTTAATAGATATTTCTACAAGGTGTTAGAATCTACTGTACGTTGATACTTATTGACTTGAATAGTTTGTCATCATGTCTTATAACTCATTGAATTTTATTCAATCTCTACTTTTCTTGAGTTGAATTAAAATGTACTATTATAACATGGGTGTTTTTGTATGATTTCATATCGTAGATTTATTAACAAAAAGGTTTGCTATTCCACAGATTTGCTTTTCTGTTAGTCATAATCACAGTCCTTTTTTAGGGGGAAGTGTGAAAATGTATAGTAACAGACAGTCTCTCTTCCCTTCAGGATCATCCTTCCCAGTCTATAGATAGATTCATATTTAAGGGATGCTTTGTCACCACATTTACTACTGTAAATAGTGTTTTTATAAGGGATGGGGTGATTTTCTATTTAATTTCAAGGTTATCATGAATTTGTAAAGACACAAGGAAGATACCTTGATAATAAAACCATGATGTCTCATAAGGAGAAAAAAAACCCCACAAAATTCATCCCTATGAAACAAACTTTCTAAAGTGTTTTAAAGATATATGTGAAATAATGATGTATTAATATGACATTAAGACACTTGATACGGAATCACACTCACCACCTTGTACTTCATTTCTATATGGATTTCAAACTACTTATGCAAATGGCGACTACCACAATACATCAGACAAGTTCCTGTTTTAGACTTCTAAGGTCAAGCTTTAAGATCACCAATGATATTTAAAGAAATTTGTCAAGAACCTGAACTTCATCTTCAGAGTATCTGCTTAATGGGCATGAAGAGCCTATTACAAGGTCCCCGTCTGCTGGTTTTATGTAGATAAAATTGCTGAGTCAGACACAGAAGAGTAAACTCATGATACTTCAAGTAGAACTTTGTCAAACAATTTATTTAAGAAGTGAAGACATTTTCTAGTTTTCAAACCCTCCAACCAAAAAAAAATTGAAAGACAATAAAAGTAAAATAGATGTATTTATGCACCATAACCTGGTCTTCAAATCAACAGAAACAAAGCAGGCAGTGAAAGATAAAATAATTTTTTATTGTAAAGTTAGGTTGAAGCCAGTTCAGCCTTTATCCTGGTCAAAGCCACACTTAATTGGTCTGCAGGGATGACCATCACTGTCCGTAAGGCCTCCATTGGGTTGTCGGAGTCCCACTTACCACCCACCACTGTGTCGCGATCACCCTCTACAGAGTAAGTAAAACTCAGCTCACTTGCCTGTAAAGGAAGTTTTGAAATAACTTGCAATGGCAACTACAGATGAACATCTGGACATTGAACATAGAAACAGCATAACAAGTGTCCCTAACATGGAATTATAATCCTTCATTAAAAACACATCTATAACAAAGTCATTACTGAAAATTAAAGCATTAATTTACTGTGATGAGAAATTTTAACACTGCACATTGTCTTTGTATGATCAATGCAAACATCAAATTTCATTATCCTTGTTGAAATGCAAGAAAATTAAAGTAGTGCTTTGAAAATATAATTTGAACAACTCTGTAATAATGGGGTGGTGGGGTCTTAGTTTGATGCAGTACATATCATCCTCAGTATACACCAAGTTTCATTATCCTTGTTTAGATACAAGCAAAGTAATGGTCCCCACACAAATTTTTAACTAAGGGCAATAACTCAGTAATTAAGGGGTTGTGGGCCCTGAATTTGGTACACTATATATTGCCTTAGTATAATCAATCTATACACCAGTTTCATGATTTTGCTTCACTGTGGGCAAAGTTTAATACACAAAAGGAAAGACAAAGTGGTGATTATGTGCTCCCCAAAAGAAATTTTCAGGGAGTATAGGAATAAGTTGTGACCTATTGTTGTGCTGATGTAATATTCATAATCCTATTTCATTAAAGAAATGATTGATAAACTAAAATATGTTAGAAATATCCAATTTAACCAATTTGCAAGAACTGGTATCAGTCAATGTTTCTTCTGCAAACAGTCCTTATTTATATAACTTGTTAAAAAAAATATTCATGAACACAAAGCCAATAGCAAAAATGAACATTGATACCTCATGTAGAAGTTCTTCCTCTGAGTTGGAGAAGATGATGGGCTCCTCTTTTTGTTTACTGACACCCTTCATACGATAGGTCTTGCTGATCATCACATACCTAGCAAAGGTATACTTCATCTGTTTCCTCTGGCATTTCTCAATATCCTTTCTGGAACAGGGAGACATCTCAATTTATTCACCATAAAAGTTTTCTTTAAAGGGTCGTGATTGGAATGGTTACTGGTATGTACATAAATAATACTTTGATTTTGGGAGTTGTACTTTCCTCTAAACATCATTCTGTAATGTATTAATGTATTCAACAAGTCCCTAATTATCGAAGAGACTGAGTGTAAGTTAGCTGTAAGAGGAATGTTAACTAAATCAGAAAGCCATTAATGTGGGTGCAATACTCAACTTACATCAAGGAATCATACATGGGAACGGAGATCTGTGGAGGGATGTTGAGGTACCGCTCGCTGAGCAGGAGGCCTACATGTTGATCAGAATCATGCAACATGTCAGAAAAACGAGACATCTTCTCCTTAGCACAGGCTTTACAATTGTCTAACAGAAGTGAGCGCACTTGTTGTACACACTCCAGGTCCTACAACCAACAAATATAAAACTACAGCACATAGCAGCATTGACATGATTTTATGAATCAATGGGCCATTTTTAGGATTGGTTTGTTCAGTTGGACTGTTTTTTTTTTTGTTTATATCTTACCTGAAGGACAGAAGTTGTTTTTTCTGCTTAACTGGATGGAGTTGTTTTCTTATAATATAAGGGCAGTGGAGTTTTAATACTTTCTTTTGAACAAGGATGTTTGAGGCAAGGCTATATTTCAAAATAGATAGCGACAGTAAAATGTTACATGGACTTATGAAACATTCTCGTCTTGTGAATGTACGATAAATCCAAATCCTCACCTTCTTTTCTGTAATATTCACAACAGACATAACACCAAACACTGCATCACTGTCATCATCATCCATTCCATCATCATCATCATCGTCGTCAGGAACATCCATTTGCTTAAGAAACAAAATATTAAAGCCATCAGCTTATAAATACCTTAAGATCACTTGGATATTTCTTTTTAGACATTGTGGTAAGATGTTTTCAGGTTATATTTCACCAAATAATATTTGGTGAGTCTCTTGTGATATATTTTATTGCATTGTAGCTTTCACTATTGATGGACACACAGAAAAAGTAAATACAAAACCATTAGGTAATTGGTTAAAGGAAACAAATATTTTAATGCATGTACACACTCTGTATTTAAACCAAATTTTTTTTCATAAATATTACAAAAGATGACTATTTATAGCCTGTTATCACAAAAATACCTCAAAAGTAAACTGACCTTGATGACACATCCAATAAAGTTCTGGGATATAAGAGTGTTGGTGAGCTCTGAGAGATTGACGTTCGCTTTCAAGAACACCTGAAAGAAGAAACAAAACTGAACATTCCATCTACATGTACTAACCAGGCATTTATAGTTAAATTACTGAGTGTATATAATTCAAAGTTTATTTATAACTATACACTGGACTGCTAAGTAAACCACTCAAACGACCAAACAGGAATTCTTTGCCCAATAACATTGGAAAATGTAAAAATATGCCGGTACATATTTTGAAACTGTGTATGTCAAATAATATTAAACATTAATCCCATTTTGTTGGCATAGATTGAAGCATGCAAGAGTTCTTTCTTGCTAAAGGAAGAAACCAGAGTATTCCAAAAGAAAAACACAAGTGGTTAGGCAGGTGACCTCAGATCAGAACTGAACTCCACTAAATGAGGTAATGGGTTATTGTGTTGCATGTTTTATATAGGTAGTAATTTATCAAACATTATCTTATAATGAACAAGACAATTCGGTAAATTACAATTCTCCAGACACACCACTGGTAGATGGTGGGGGCTAACAACAATCACAAGTATGTTTTAATTTACCTGTTGTAGAAGAGTTTTCACACCGTGGAAATCGCTGTCGTCAAGCATACGAGCTTCAAATTCCACTTGCACTTCCTAAAAAGATTTAGATATAGCTATACAACCACTCGTATGGTATCTACAATATGTAAAATGTAAGCGTTCTCACAATAACTTCATTGACATCTTAAACCTTCAGTCTTGCTTCTAATAGGGAGTCAGATCTAGAGGGATCTGTAACATTATAAGCAGTGCAATGTCAACCGTTTCGTCAGACTACTTCAAAATTAAACAATTCAGTAGTAGTAAAAATAACCATAATGCGTAATGAGATGAGGTGCACCCTATGTAAATATATAAGGCAGCTGAATGAAAGACAAGAGGCCCAAGGTTCCTGTATCATTCACCTACCTAATTCAACTATCAAGAATTTCAAATATGACAAATAATTTCTGAAATAATTTCCCTATTTGGTGCCAGCATTTTGGTCAAACAGATGTCAGATTTACCATTCATAAAAATTGCTTCAGACAAAACTCTGATAATATCTTTGTACAGAAGAATGATGTTTTAGAACTTCCCCTAATGGTTCCCATATCTTTAATGTTAGACTCCTAATGGTTCCCATATCTTTAATGTTAGACTCCTAATGGTTCCCATATCTTTAATGTTAGACTCCTAATGGTTCCCATATCTTTAATGTTAGACTCCTAATGGTTCCCATATCTGTAATGTTAGACTCCTAATGGTTCCCATATCTTTAATGTTAGACTCCTAATGGTTCCCATATCTTTAATGTTAGACTCCTAATGGTTCCCATATCTTTAATGTTAGACTCCTAATGGTTCCCATATCTTTAATATTAGACTCATGGTTGATACAAAACAAGGTTTCTTTCAACTAGGTATTCTTCAGACCAAACTGAGACAGAATCGAGGCATTCCCACAAAAGAAGAATTTTAGAGAATTTCCTCTATTTCCACTATTCAGTCCAGCCCCTCCTACCACACAGGGCCAAAACCCACTATTTATACTAACAGTGAACATGGATTTAAGTCAAATTTGACGGGACCAAATAGCATATATGACTTCTCTGACTGCTCAACATAGCCGTGTTTCTATGAACAGAGACATTGTGCAATGAAGATTGACCCTATTTTCATCACTTGTTTTTGTGGATATGTGTCTCACAGCATGGTGTAAGAGTAATAAAACTCAATAAATACGTGCTCATGAATATTCTACATTGATTTAACATCGATAGCACTGATTTGAGTTATGGAAAGGTGAAGGCTGCAGCAACTTCACTGACACATAACTATATACAAATTACACTGTAAAATAGAATAAAATAAAACTTTTAGTTTGCACATGTACATGTATATCCAGCATACATATTTAATCATAAACTAATGTGTCACCGACAAATTACTATTTTTTTAATCTGTGCGTTAGTTATCATTTGTTTTTTTTCCCTTTTGGTTTCTGGCAGCCATGGGCATAAAAAAGTACCTGTATAATTTATTTTGATAAAGAAAACGTAAAATCAGGACTTAACAAAACATTCAATGCATCTGGGGTATTTGACTCAAGCGTGTTTGAAATAAGCAAGTTTTACTGTAACTGATTACCCTTCATCAGACTAAATTTGGGCAAAATCCAATCATTCCTACAGCGAAAACACACCCTTTTGACTATCAACACCACAAAAAATGGCAAATGAGACTTGAAATAAAAATTGTGATGTAAATACATGTATTTCATGATATTGCAAAATGTTATGGTTGTTATATCCCTGTGTGAGGAAATTTCAATTGATATAGTTGATGTTTCATTCAAGAAACAAGATTTGGCAAAGAAGCGGATGTAACATATACTTTATGACACTGAATCCCTCCTCATAACTTCATGTCACAACAAATTTGCTGAAAAATAACTGAAGGCAAGCAAAACTTCGTGATCTCTTAATATCAATGTCAAAAAAGGGACATAACTTCCATAAAAATGGTTTTTATTTAAAAATAAAGAAAGAGGGCACAACAATATATGAATGCACTACAAAGAGAGTTTAAAAAGATTTAGTCGAAAAGTAAAAGAAAGTGTCTATAGCCATACAAACTTTCAAAATTTTGATAAAGGGCCATTTTAACTTCCATGACATGGAAAATCGTGAAATGGGGCACATCCACATTAAGTCTAGACATTACCTAGACAATTTGAAAAAAAAATTGTCAGTAAAGGAAAGTATGCATAGCCCTATCAATATCAATGAAGAGATACAACAAAGGACCCTTACGTCCACAAAAAGAGTCAAAATGAAAGATAACGTAAGGTGCTGCAATATCAAGATCTTCTATATCGAGACGTTTCGGCACAACTTTATTACGCACAAGTTATCATGATATTTCGGCGGAACACCTTAAAACCCAACCTTTTTATTTTATAAAAAAATCAGGATATATAATTTAAATTTAGTAATTAAGTTGAGTAATCGAAAACATGACAGTTCTATTTGTTTAACTGATTCAAATTGTTATATTTTTCAAGCGCCGAAACGACCAATTTTACTCGCCGAAACGTTACACGTGCATGAAAATCCTGCAAAAGAAAAAATATTAAGAAAAACCATCATATTCTATCACCTCATTTATCGGTGAAGAGTTCTCATCGTCCATTTCGTCTTCATCATAATCATCGTCACTACTTCCATTAGAATCGCTCTCCAACGTATCTGTCGACATTGGTTCCGCAACACGTTTCTTCTTCGACGCCATCTTGTACTGGTTAAAAAATTTTACGAAGTAAAGGCAAACGAAAACGAAAGTTATTTCTTTAGAATAATCAAGAAAGTATAATCAACGAAGAAAATGTACACACAATGCTTTAGTGTGTTACTAAATTATTCAATTATCTGGACTTTTTTTTATAAATGATGAATATGTAAATAAAACGAAAATGCGTTTCGCTTGTTACTACGAAACTATTTCTTTAAAGCGTAGACACGAGCTCGAATATCTCATACGTCTTATGAATCGGAATGCTACCCACTCAAATTCAATATTTATCGACTACTCTATCCTATTTCTCGCGTTTTATCAAATGAACTATGAAGAAGTAGGGATGCTTTGCTATCTAGTTTTTGTATAGAAGTTCATGAATACCGCCCTGTGTACGTTTGAAGAAAAGGTCAAATAACAAATATAAAGTTCAGTACAACTGAGGAATCAGCGTGAGTCGCGCGGTCGTCTGCCAACTGATTAATTAGCTGTATGAGAAGATCAGGTAGGGTAGGATGGTGAGGTCATAATTTACAGCACGATGTAAACAAAACACAAAGAAAATGAGATACACTTTAAATTATATAATTGGTTCATTATTTCTTAATTGATTACCTTCAGCAGGGACGTATAATACATCCCTGCCTTCAGGTATATATTTCCCCAGAGTCTGACACCGTCTTCACAATGATATTTTATGTACTTTAGTTACAAGAATTCTACATTTTTTAATGACTGATATACTTAGTTAATTAAAATGATAAAGTAATATTATTAATAAGATGTTTATAGATGTTGTTGATGTTGTCAGCCCTGGCTAAAGATTCTCTGTCTGATAAATAGTAATATATTGGAACATCATTGCCATACATTAGTTCTCTTTCCCATACATATTCGAAATCAAATGCATTTTTTTTGTTTACAAAATTAACACATTAAAAACAGTTCTCGTATTTCCATATTTAAAAAAAATCATATGCACAATTCAAAATACAATTTCCTGACGTAAGTAATTTAAACCGATATTTAATTATTCCCACATTCCTGTTATATTCAAGTGGAAAACGATCTAGTTTCCAATACACCGTAGGATTTGAGGTAGATTAAATAATGTGTATGAACCAATATAAATATCAATTGACGATACCAATATATATCATCCATGATTAAAAATGATGCCAACATACCTATCAAACGGCGAAGTATAGTTTCAATATTGAAGCTCACATTACTACATTTTGTAAACAGTGCAAACATTGTTTTTCTACCTTGGTTAGAAAGCGGGTTTTAAACATTGTTAAATTTGTTATCAAATCTCAAGTTTATCCCTAAATATGTAAATTTATCAACACAAGTCATATCTCTGCCTTTATAAGCCCATTTCTTGTAACAATGTACTGTTCCCCCTTTCGGAAAAAACAACTTTCGTATTTTCAATATTCACAGTGAGCTTCCATTTTTCATATTATCTTTCTAAATTATTGAACAATCTCTGAAATAATATCATATCATCAGCATCAAGCAAAAGGAATTAAGTTTTGAAACCCATAAGGCGAGTCCCAATGTGTTGTAGGAAACGTTTCAAAATCGTTGAAATACGAAGAAAGTATTGATGACAGAATTTACACCTGGAAGAGACCGATCCTCCTTATCGAAGAAATCAGAATGGTCTCCTTTAAATCTAACACATGATTTCACTTTTCATATATAGACTTAGTTGAAGTTAAAAGTTTTCCTAGTATTCCTAATTGTCTTAGCTTAAACCGCTGATTAACACGATCAACACGATCAAACACTTTTTGTTGGAAATCAACGAAACAGTTGCATATAAAAGTTTGTTGTTACCGGAAAAATTGTAATACTAAAACGTTAAGCATAAACAACATCAATTGTACTCAGTCCAAAATTCAGTGTAAATGTATAATTTGCCAAGACAGCTCAATAAACTTATACCTCGGAAAGTATATGAACTGGACTTCTTGTGCTCTTGAGTAATAACCGCTTTGAACCACGCGACAAGAAAAAAAAATCATAGATTTAAATCATTTGTTAATTTTCTCTGAACTTTCTCTAAAAACAAGCATGTAAGCAATCATTTCAACGGTATGTGAGAGCGCACTCGGCCAAAGCAAAGCACGTATACATTTCCACTATATATGGGGGCGTGGTCTGATGACATTTTGAAATTTCCATCGATAAACTTAGTACCGATGTAAATAAAGACGGACTAAGCAAAACTAATCAAAAACTGTTAAGTGCCATTGAGGTACATAAGTTGCATGGTCGTCTGCTGATATTGAGGAATGGGAAGAATCTGCAGTCAAAATGTGCGCTGATGCAAGAGTGTTTACGTCATTGATTGCTGCAACCGACCATGAAAGTGACACAGAAATAAGAACAAATGCACAATTTTATATATCCAAGAGATATGAATTTCGATACGAAGCGTAAGTAGATATATTGCATATTCTTTTATTGCTAGGGGATTTCACGATGGGTGCTTTTTGAATTTTGAAGTCATACCTGTCCAAGTTTAATATGGACCGATTTTTCCTCGCCTTGAACACGTTTTAAAGCCTTTCATTGATTGAATTTTAGCCACTTATATATCCATTGAAGTATTACTTTTATTTCTTATTTTTTTTCATGAATTTGTGTATGACAGTATTCTTATGTCTTATCGTATGGTATCGTTTATTTCAACACCCAAGCTTATTCACTTCCCATTTCTTAAAAGATATAAAAAAACTAAACATTGTTAAGATGGAAATGTAGTGACCGGAAAGTTAAGTGGTAATTTAATTGCTGTTTCAGTTATATTTCAATTACAAACTGTCTTGTTAGCCACTGCATGAGGATAAAGTGAGCTGTCAGGGCACCTAGCTCGGTTAACGTGTGAATCCGTCAGATAAGGTTAAGGGAAGTTGAATTATTTATATTTCACGCATGTTTTCATGATAATTAATTGATTGTTTATTTATCATGCAATGGTATATAACATCCTTCGCGCATCTTGTTAATTCCATCGCAAGCCTCTGAGCTAAACATACATGACTGGAGTCACCTGTGCTGCATCCGAGAATAACGAACATGTAGACATTAAGCAATTGCTGTAAAATTTAAAATAAGTCAATAACTAACCTCACCAAAAATAAATTCTTTTCTATTCAACCTCTTTGTTTTTTCTGTAACTTTCGGTCTTATAAGCGAACATTATTTGAATGCTGTTGTTTTCTGGTGTTAGTGGGATACATGAATTTGTGTAAGAAACGGTGCAATCGCGGTCAACTGTGTACACCCTTTATATTGCCTGTTAGAAGTACAATTTCAAAGACATTAGAAAAAAGATGAGAGAATAAAAAAGAGAAAATTATATAAACAATAACCAAGGATATATAGAAGGTGTCCATTAGACGGGAAAACGATAACTATAATAAGATAATAATAATAATAAATTCATTATCTAAACAAGGAAGCATATTTAGACTTGCGTTTAGTTTACAATATGGCCCTGTAAACACATGTTTACATCAGCACATTACAGACGAATACAAAATATTAACATGTTGACATGACAATACATGATATACCATTTGTATTAAACAAGATACCTCAGTAATTATGGATAAGAACAGTTCATTATTCGCTTGCATAAAAACTAAATATCAAATAATATACCAAAAGTTTTCTGAGCATAATTGATGTGATTTATGAAATAATTAAATACATATTACAACATTAATACAGTACACAGATGAGCCTGGAATTGACGAATACATTTCATGACTAAGGATATGGTAAGGAGATTTCTTTTAAGCGGATAGGAACAATAACTATCCGTCTAATGGACGTCTTTTATTTATCCATTGTCAATTTTTCTATTCGTCCCATGGCCATCTCCTACACCGATATATCCGAAGTTATTATTTTACCTGGTGTTAAAAATAACTTGCGTAAGTCTAGTACCAGGGTAATCCATTGTATCAGGCTTTTATAAGCGATAAAGTATCTAAGTGCTGCCATCTAGTAGTTTGTCCATTAGACGTATAATTTTTTTGGCGGGAATCACGATGGGTAGGTTTGTACATCGGTTGCTCCACACAAAAAGACTTATTGATGATAACTTTCTATCAATTTAGTTCACTGTTGCCGAAAAATCACATGGTTGACATTGTTGTTTATAATGTGATAGTGTAACCGGCCTTCGACACTGTACAGGTCACGAGTATTCAATTGACACGCGGAGAACTGAATCACAACTGCACAATGTTTCTTAATGTTACCGGTATCTAGCAACTTTGACATACATGCATATTGTATATTCCAAATATGGAACATTTTGTGATAATGATGATGTCTTGATGCCGGTTTAGTAATATCTGACTCCTAGCTGTTATAGACTGTTCAGTGTTCTTGTCATACAGAATTTCAATTGAAACCGCAAGTAAATTTCTGTTTCCCTCTCGCATCATTTCTTGATCGGTTATCGAAAGATATGAAGGCCAGCTGCCCCCTTTGGGGTTGAACCAGACTCGTCTAACCAGTGTTCTAACAAAAAACAAAGTTTTCACTGTTTTCATCTGTATTTTTTTTTCAATTATTTCCATAATTTTTGTGTAAATTCGAAGAGAAATGTCTGAACATTTTAAGCTTTACTAAAACCACATGCATTTGTTAACTTAATGGTTGTTAACCCCTAGGGACATTGTCCTTATTATTTATATGGGCTATAGAGGAAATGCAGTCAATGTGTATTTTAGCTCATCAAACTCAAAGGACCAATTGAGCATATGACATGGCATGATATCCTTTGTTCCATCTGGCTTCAAATATTCCTTTTAAACAGCTTCTTCTCAATAAACAGGAGTCCTAAAATAATTATGTTTTGCTGATCTATATTCAAGGATATATGGGCCGAAAGGCACAGAGGCATATTATCTTGCTGATAGGTTCCTGTTGTGAATATTGACAAATTTTGCAAAAATTTTTTTACCATGACCCATATTTAAGTTCATGGGGTCAGATTTGTTAAAATCTTAATTCATTTCGTCTGATTTACCAAAAGTTTTAGAAGGATGATATTTGGTAGATGGGTTATTGGGATAAAGCCGTTGAATATTACATTTGGACCAGGTCATAACTGCCACTGTTAAGAACTGAGTGCACATGTTAGAAGCTAATTAATGTTTGTTGTGGAATTTGGTTAAAATTGGTTGGATGTCATTAGTTCACATGCTTATGTATTTGTGATGAACAATGAATACCAGGTGAGTGATACAGGTCCATTTGGCCTCTTGTTTCATGTACATACTCAATAGGGCAGATCAGATGAGAATCTTTGTAAGCTAGAATGTATTTTTCATGGTTTTTTCATTGCTGAAATGATCAGATTACCAGGTGAGACTCACAGGCTTTGTTGTTCTTTTGTTTTATATATTTGATAAATACCTGAATTTTTTGCAGGTGAAAACCAACTCTGATTGATGATGTGACAGTGTCAATAAGAAGTTGGTGAATGCTATTCTACTGAAAACTAATCCCAGAAACTGACCATGGACACCTCAGATTTCTCCTTTACTTTGGACCAACGGTGTGTGATAAGTGGTTTCTTGAATAGTGACTACATGCAGTGATTATTGTAACGCTAATGCCTTTTATTAATAGTTATAAGTGCAGTCTTGCAATATGTTAAAATCAGATTGTAAAATAAACAAGACTGGAAATGGTTCAAACTATCACTAGACAGAAAATAATTGTTCTTAATGAAAAAATCATGTGTTGAAACTATCTGCTGATTCAGATGTTAACATATATATTTCTTTCTTATTTATGAATAATTAAGCTGATTCTTATTGTAGTCCAACAATGATGAAGTTAGAGGAGGTTTTAGTGGGTGATTCTCCAATGGTACGAGGCCAGGAACAAAGTAAAACATTTCGTAACAGAGCAGCCAACATTAATATAAGACGATGTATCCTTTACTGATCTTTCAATTTCTTTGGTTATTAATGAAATTAATAAAGGATTCTGTACACAGGATATCTTTTTGGATGTAAAAAAGTATCAGATTTGTTTTTTGTTTTTTGGTTTTTTTTCATAATTTGAAATTTAAGATATTCGAAACAAAAATAAGTAGTATGTGTGACCTTGACTCCTAGTCAGCACTTCAGTTGCTAGATGAGAGTGTTGCTTTTCCTGCTGCTGCGACCAGAAGAACTCCACACAGGGGAGGAGCATTGCAGCATAGCTCATGTAGGTACTATTTACATGGTGATAGTGTTTACATTAATTTGATATTGAAATTTTCATTGTAAACAATGAGTTATCTCTGCATTAATTTGATATCAGTTTTATCAGGGATTTATGTACATTTCAAAACATCAGGAGATTTTTCAACAAAAAAAACAAGCAAATAACAAAATATCTCCTATATATCAATTCCACAAAAAACCACTAAAAGTAGTTCATAAGTAAGTTTTCCCCAAACTTTAATAATGAACATTAACACTCGGGGAGAGGGCTTATATGAGGATAAATAGAGTAGTCTTCTTGTACTTCTGTTCATATTTATACATGTTGTAAGAATTTTGAGTAAGAATTGAAAGTTATTTTTATCCACTCACATTCTCTCAGTTATCAAATATTATAGATTGTGTAGATGATATAAGTATACATGAACTTAATTATCAATGTTATTTCAGACACACCAATATCTTCTGGATCAAAGTATGATGTGTCAGGATTATTGGGACCTACACCGAGAAAGGCATCAGCAGCAGATCAAAGTTATAACCAGGTATGAAATACCTCTGTACTACACATGGGAAGGGATAGAAATAATTTACAGATTTATATTGATGTGAATATTAATGAATTCTCCAATAAAATGGGGGATGCTAGAAACAAAGTTTGGGATAGAAATAACTTACAGATTTATATTGATGTGAATATTATTGAATTCTCCAATAAAATGGGGGATGCTAGAAACAAAGTTTGGGATTGAAAAAACCTATAGATTTAAATTGATGTGAAAGGGGAAGAAAAAAAGCTGGGGAGAAAGAAAACATCCTGTAGCATGCTAGGATGAAGGGCTACCAACTTTGTAAATATGAATGACATTGACCCACTTTCATGGTCACAGGTATCAAATATGTTAAAATGTTTAAATGACTTCTTTTCAATAACTGAAAGGCCAAGGGTCTTGATATTGTGCCTGTGACATCCTTTTTCAACAAACAATACATTTGGAGTAATGGCATTTGTGTAGTGCATGTATAAAGAATATGATTTCAGGTTTGCAGAAAATGTTTTGATTAACAACAATGTTTCCACTGTAACTTGTAGAGTAATTGAGCCATTTATTTTTGGCCTATTTTGCCTTTTTCATGTATAAGTCTTTATAGTCAGATGACCGTTAAGGCCCTTGGGCCTCTTGTTATTGATTATCATGATAATGTTATACAAAGTAGAGAATAGAAATTTCAAATCTATCCATATAACATTTAAAGTCGGATAATATCTTGTTCTTCCTTATTTATTGTAGATGGATTCTACGATGTTTACTAACAAGTCCTATCTCGTAAGTCTCAATTCTTTCTGGGATTGATGCAACTGTAAGCTGTGCAATATCTGATTACTGTATGTATATGTAAATTTAATCCGACATGTTTAGAAACAAATGAGGTGTTGTCATTAAGGTATGTTTTATATGGGAAAATATTTGTCCAGGGTCATTTTCATCACTCCATCTTCCCCTGTATTGAATTCGCACTGATAACATTATAACATAAAATGAAAGTGTTTCGGCTTTTATTTTGATCGTAGTTGATTTAGTCAAGAAGGGTAACAGTGGTGAAAATTTCCGAATGAAAATTTTTGGTATTCAGTTTTTAGTTGAACTTTCATAGGTACAACCGTTAATCATTAACATTTAAAAATTTGGCAATTTTTAATTGAGGGTGAAAGAATCATAGGTATACTCATACCGTTCATACATTTGGATTTGTTATGTTTTATTTGTATTTTATAAACAAACATTTTTGCAGTATATATTATCACTTTAGGAGGATATGACTGAGGAGGTTACAACCACCAATGTTGGTCTGTTGTTGGAGGAAGATCCTGGTATCTCTGGTAAGAAACATTAACACTCTGAAGTGATTGTGACTATGTATTTATGTTATTTATAGATTTTAATCAGATGTATATGTGTGTCATCATCATACCTTTGAGGCTTAATTGGATAGACCTTTACTTTTATTTACTTTTTGCTGTAATAGTTCAAACAAACTGACATTTACATAAAAAAACAAGCTATGATGAAAGAACAAATTGATTATGTTTGAAGTTTTGATCAGAGTACTTGTTGAGTTTTTAGTTTGGTTTTACATTCAATGAAATATTTTTGTCAATTTTTTTATTCAACATGCCATATCAAATTTTACCAATACAGTGATATTTTGTGTTGACCAGCTTGTAAAGGCCTATTTGAGGATTTCCAGAAGTGTATGAAAGCCAACGTGTCAGAAAGTCAGTCATTTGACCTGATCAAAGAATATGAAAATGCCTGTCGAGAACATGTTGTACTTTTAAGGAAGTTAATGAAAAGGGCCACAAGGAATGAACCAAGGTTTGTATTGGAATCAGCATTACTGTTAGAACAGTATCTATCTTGAAAAAGCCCAGTGGAGTTGCACATCACCTTTGACATCACAGGATGGGCTTATCAGGGGTCAATGAAATCCTATTTATTAACTCTTCAAGATGTCACACAAATACTGGTGAACTTATTGACAGACATGGATATATAGTACTAGTTATTACAATTTCAAAGATTTAAGGTTCATTTAGATGAGTCATAAGATATAGGACCCGGAGAAAAACCATGAGAACATATCTTTATATTTTTTACTTAATTGTACAAAGGTGATTGATATATCATTAGTCACTCCAGATTTCCATGCATAGAAACCTTTAGACTAAAACGAGTATATTTTGTATGAAATGCTAGAATTCACATGCACTGTAATGTATTACAATTACTTAAAAAATAAAAGATATCTTCTTTCATTCATTGCATTAAATTGTTTGTTCAAGGTTCCAGAAAACATTTGAAATGTTAGATCTGATAGAACATGAACAGAACACCTGGCAGCTGGTACATTCCCTATTGAAAGATCAGTTGGAAGTAGAGCTCAGGATGGACCTCCCAGACGAAGAGATGAATGAAGATGGTGGGGTATGTCATTATGGCTCACTTTGGTTTTAATTATTCACCTTAACATGCTTGAATAGGTACTCACAAGAGTGTGTAATAGGATATATCATTCAACGTGTTTGCAGCGTCAAAATTAGGTATTATGGAGTTTGTGATATAGTACTCAAATGTTATGACACTGATTTGATAAAGTTTGTTGTTGAAAATAGAGACTTTTATCAAGAAGATCATGCAAATACATGTATCAAGTTTATTAAAGGCTTCTCCAAAACTCTGCTGTCTGTTGAAAATAAATGTGTGTCATCCCTTAAACATTTATTAAGTACCTGTGATGGTGGTCTTGATGAAAAGCTCTTGAATAAACTACATGAAGAGGACATTTTTTCATAATGTCTGTTTAGGTGATAATTTGTTTTCATGTGTGAAAATTTTCACCAAATTGCAGAAATTGAAGATTAAGATTATAAAATACTCATTCCAAGTTTATTCAGAGACGGGCTGTTTGTTGTAAGATCGAGTTATGACAAAAACACTGCAATGGTGTTCATTCCATATTTTTTGTGCAGGTTGTTTAATTTGACTCTTCTTGAATTTCGTTGAATTGATTTCCTCTTATTTCAGTCTCTGTTCAGAAAAAGTGACAAAAAAATAGTCAGTGATTTCTTCGAAAACAATTCAGAAATCAGACAAAGTCAGGTAGGTTTATATTTCCATTACTTGACAAAGCTAACTGAAATATATAACTTAAGTTCTGATAGAATTACATGTATACTGAAATCATTATATACATTGGTATTTCCTATTAAAATTATAACTATTATGTCTACTGTTATTTGAAGGCATTTGCAAAAATTGGTGTTTTCTAAAAGTGTATGTTGTACAGAATGAAGTTTTTATAATAATAAATTATGTGAACAAATGCAAGTGACATAGAAATAAATTATTTTTTTCCTGTAATATCTCAGTGTATGGGGCTGTTATAGTAATAACAAGAAGGCTGAAGCAGGATTTTTTTCCTTAGAGGAATGAAAGAAGAAAATGAAATAGAAGTACTTAGGATACAAAAAAAAAGATGAATTTTGATGTATTTATGTGACTTTTAAGGAGAACCAGGATAATAGGGAAAAAAGGATAGCAGAATGTAATGTATAGAAAGAATGTACTTAGTTAGAAAAGAAGTTAGTTTGGTTTTACCTGGAAATTTTAGGTTTTATGTAAGTTTAATTTTCCTGACAGATTAGTATGCAAATGTTCTATTTGATATTACTTGATTCATAACACTTGTTTTAATGCATGAAGCACAAAATTCTGATCAGTTTAGTAACTTAATCAAAATTTATTTCTGTTAAAAACATTAACATTTTGAAATGAAGTAACACTTTGTGGTTTTTTTTGTTAGCTGATTGTTGACTGGCTGGAAAGTTGTGCATTAGAAAAAGTACAAAGGATTAGAGATAATATCAAATTTTTCTCAGATAGAGCTGTGGGATGGTGAGTATTGTATGAGAGAGATGATATCCAACTTTTCTCAGAGAGAGCTGTGGGATGGTGATTATTGTATGAGAGAGATAACATCCAACTTTTCTCAGATAGAGCTGTGGGATGGTGATTATTGTATGAGAGAGATAACATCCAACTTTTCTCAGATAGAGCTGTGGGATGGTGAGTATTGTATGAGAGAGATAACATCCAACTTTTCTCAGATAGAGCTGTTGGATGGTGAGTATTGTATGAGAGAGATAACATCCAACTTTTCTCAGATAGAGCTGTGGGATGGTGAGTATTGTATGAGAGAGATAACATCCAACTTTTCTCAGATAGAGCTGTTGGATGGTGAGTATTGTATGAGAGAGATAACATCCAACTTTTCTCAGATAGAGCTGTGGGATGGTGAGTATTGTATGAGAGAGATAACATCCAACTTTTCTCAGATAGAGCTGTGGGATGGTGAGTATTGTATGAGAGAGATGATATCCAACTTTTCTCAGAGAGAGCTGTTGGATGGTGAGTATTGTATGAGAGAGATAACATCCAACTTTTCTCAGATAGAGCTGTTGGATGGTGATTATTGTATGAGAGAGATAACATCCAACTTTTCTCAGAGAGAGCTGTTGGATGGTGAGTATTGTATGAGAGAGATGATATCCAACTTTTCTCAGATAGAGCTGTTGGATGGTGAGTATTGTATGAGAGAGATAACATCCAACTTTTCTCAGATAGAGCTGTTGGATGGTGAGTATTGTATGAGAGAGATAACATCCAACTTTTCTCAGATAGAGCTGTTGGATGATGAGTATTGTATGAGAGAGATAACATCCAACTTTTCTCAGATAGAGCTGTGGGATGGTGAGTATTGTATGAGAGAGATAACATCCAACTTTTCTCAGATAGAGCTGTGGGATGGTGAGTATTGTATGAGAGAGATAACATCCAACTTTTCTCAGATAGAGCTGTGGAATGGTGAGTATTGTATGAGAGAGATAATCCTAAAAAATAGTTCCAGGTTTCTATTTGCTGTCAAGTACATCTAGTTTGAACTATTATGAATTTTTCACTGTATTCAAAATCTTGAAATATTTGTCAAGGTGAATGTCAAGTGTGGTATACTGAAGCATGTACTATTGGATGTCAGATTCATAAGGATTGGATAGATAGATATGTGTAAGGACTAGATATTAAAAAAATATATATAAACCATATTGTATAAATAATATAAGAATAACATCATTCTTCTATCTTCTTTGCTCTCCTGTCTTGATATATGGTCACTAAACATATATTTTATGCATTTGTGTATTCAATTAATGGAATAACGCTTCAGTTACCATATAGGATAACATCTTATGATGTAATTTAAACACAGGGAAAACACTCTACACAAACTACAAACAAGAGAATCAGAGAACCTGTTTGGCGGAACAGATCGTCCCCTGGTTGATAAAATTGTAAGTTTTTCAGTAGTGTTTATACCATGATATTTGTAAGAGATAACATTATTAGTCATTTAATAAATCTTTTTCTTCACTGCAGTGAAAATTGAAAAAAAATTAAATCTTCAATTCAAATAAAAGTATCATTAATTCTACATATAATTAAATACATAGTTTACATGTTAAAATGTTTACTGCTGCTTGCATTATGATATATTTTTCAAAAATGCAAATTTGATAGTGTCACAAGCATGTCTCACCAGACAATAGTAAATGGTAGTAATGCCTTGAGCACCCCACTGAATATGACACCCTGTCATATCTTGAAATGTTGACTCATTAGGTTTTCAAAGTTAATATATAAATTCCTTCAGTATCATTTATTTGGGGTTTAAAATGTTATATATTGAAAGATTTCCCTGTAGACTGTCTGGAAATAATCTTTGTAAGACAGAATTTACTGATTTTTCATTGACATGGTAATCTGTAATACTTATGGAATATAGCTGATAGTGTGACAGAAAATCATCAATGATAAGGCTCCTGTACATAAATGTTATAAATACATGTTTCAGGACCCGGATGCTGCAGTTAGGCAGAACAAAATGGTGGATGATTTAGATAAGGAAGATGAATCGCGCCTCTTACAGACCTTGTTTGTGTACATACGAGCGGGCCAACTACAGGAGGTTGGTAATTTTAACATATTTATATTGACAGAACTAAATAGGAATATAGATTAGCTCCCCATCTGTCTGTATATTCACTTAATTCCAAATTAACACATAACAGATGATACCTTTGTAAATATTTTTAAAACCTTGAAAAAGTTTGTAAAATTTTGCAAAATGGACCAGTGGGGAAAAAAGTGCCAATTTGCATCTCATACATGTAGGTATTTATATCCAGCTCATACATGATTGCTGAATATTAATCCAAATTTCAGACTTATGTTTTTGTCTCCTTGTTTCCCGAGTAACATGCTGAAAGCTTCCTAAAATTATCGTTAATCTATATAGAACTTGATCAGACTTGTCATTACACACACATGTATTAATATATAGGCCCAGGATATTTGTTGTGAGCATGGTCAGGCTTGGAGAGCAGCAACACTTGAGGGATGGAAGCTTTATCATGACCCCAACTTTGAGGCCATGGTAAAAGGTCAGACATGTTCTGTGGAAGGAAACCCAAACCGAGACATCTGGAGAAATGTCTGCTGGAACATGGCCAAAGAGGTACACACTGACATTCAATCAGTTACTTGTGATCTTTCAAATGTTTCTTGTTCTGTAAACTATATTGATTTTAGGTAACAGTGTAAAGTCATGAAAACTTTTAGCATTAAGAGCAAAAAAAATCATCCTGTTTTTTATATGGTCACCATTTGTGAGACTGAATTATATCTACATGTGCTGCTGTCATAATCCAGGATTCCTTTCAAGTTCCAATGGATTTTTTTTCTCGCACAAAATTCAGAGAAGGATGCTGTAAACATTCTTAATTTAGTGCTATCAGAATTTAGTGCATAATCACATTTCAGCAAATTAGTGCAACAATGAATTCGCACATCAGTAATAATTGCTCTGTATAAGTCACATACAAAAGTGATGATTAGTGCAATTTTACAGCAGAACCTTCTCTGCAATAAGTGCTAAAATGAAATATTGCTACAATATGTGTATTTACTATTTTTTTTTTTTTTAATTTTTTCAAATGTTATTGGAATATTCAGTTTGCTTTTGTGGAGATGATGAAAGACATTGTGATGATTTTAACCTCTCATAAACACTGATGATTTTAACTTCTCATAAACACTGTGATGATTTTAACTTCTCATAAACACTGTGATGATTTTAACTTCTCATAAACACCATGATGATTTTAACTTCTAATGCAGACATTATAATAATATGGGCTAAGGGGCTATAACAGCTTTAGTGTTTGCCAAAACTTCAGTATTACCCAGCCAACAAGTAAATGCTTAAATAGACTGTCAAGATATCGAAGCTGCTGGCCGATCTATGTACCTGAAGAGAGGCAACTTAACTATTCACTGCCAAAGAATTCATGGGGGACTTACGAATTACATAATGAAGTAAAAATGCCTTAATTGAAGATGTACCACAGCTGAAATACCTATTTTAAAGCTATTTGTGATATACAATGTCCCTGGCCTTTTTTTATCGACAGCCAAGTTATGACCAATTTGAGAAGGCTATTTATGGTGTTCTGAGTGGAAATCTACAAGCAGTACTGCCAGTATGTAGGGACTGGTTGGACTATCTATGGGCACATTACAAAGTACTTGTGGATGTACGGATGGAGCAGGAACTACGCACACAAAAGTTGTCTGGTCGACAGCTGGTCAGCATGCCTTCAGAGTTCTGGGATCAATCGTAAGTTTGCTTACCATGGAAACAAAAATAAAAATGTTGCAATGGCTTGATGTGATATTTTTTGTGTGTGAAAAAGTAGCTGACAACACACAAAATTGTGATTATAGATATTTGTTTACATGCCTACATTTATAATTGGTAATGTCATCTTGCTAATTGAATAAGTCATGTCATTCTTCATTTTTATAAGCATTAGAAGAAAGTAGAAGGTGTTAATTCAGAAAATATTAGGCCCATCATTGCTGAAAGTGTCATAAGATATCTTTGAACTTGATTTAATGTTTGTCATTATTAATAATAATTGAAATTACATATCAAACCTAAGAAATCCTATGGTCAGTTGCTTTATGGTTGGGAATTTTTTCAGATCTGATGCTGAATCTGTGTTTAGGAGATTGGAAGCTTATGAAGTAAGTACATATTTCATTACATTTACTGATATCATTTCTGCTGTTTGATTTGTATTAAACAAATTTGTGTGAATTTTGAAATGTAGAATCGCTAGAGCGCTTAATGTATTACTGTATAAAACAAATGTTATAACTTGCATTAAACTTTATGATTTTTATGTCATGTTTTCCTTTACTGAGATTTTTCTAAATTGCCACAGAACATTAGTAAAGAGGGCCTTCGTTGGTACCATGTCATTCAGAAATGGATCATCCTCGGCGACACTGAGAGTGAGTTATCTAAAGATCATTTGTGAATTAAAGGTTCCACCTGAATCTTCAGGATTCGACATATACAAATGTTGAATCTTTAAAAGTCATGAACAGATTCAAAAGTTCATTAAACATAGTCAACAAACAAAGTTTAACTTAGCCAGGTACTAATCATGTACCAATCCTAACTAGGGACAGTTTACATATCAATAGCATATAATTAAGTCAGGGCCAGCAGTGGTTAACGAGGGACAATTTACATATCAAAAGCATATCATTAAGTCAGGGCCAGCAGTGGTTAACTAGGGAATGTTTACATACCAGTAGCATGTCATTAAGTCAGGGCCAGCAGTGGTTAACTAGGGAAAGTTTACATATCAATAGCATATAATTAAGTCAGGGCCAGCAGTGGTTAACTAGGGAAAGTTTACATATCAATAGCATGTCATTAAGTCAGGGCCAGCAGTGGTTAACTAGGGAAAGTTTACATATCAATAGCATATAATTAAGTCAGGGCCAGCAGTGGTTAACTAGGGAAAGTTTACATATCAATAACATATCACTAAGTCAGGGCCAGCAGTGGTTAACTAGGGACAGTTTACATATCAAAAGCATATCATTAAGTCAAGGCCAGCAGTGGTTAACTAGGGAATGTTTACATACCAGTAGCATGTCATTAAGTCAGGGCCAGCAGTGGTTAACTAGGGAATGTTTACATACCAGTAGCATGTCATTAAGTCAGGGCCAGCAGTTGTTAACTAGGGAAAGTTTACATATCAATAGCATATAATTAAGTCAGGGCCAGCAGTGGTTAACTAGGGAAAGTTTACATATCAATAACATATCACTAAGTCAGGGCCAGCAGTGGTTAACTAGGGACAGTTTACATATCAAAAGCATATCATTAAGTCAAGGCCAGCAGTGGTTAACTAGGGAAAGTTTACATATCAATAACATATCACTAAGTCAGGGCCAGCAATGGTATGTTTCAGAGGGGAAACTGACAAAGATTTTGAAATATCATGGATTTAGGAACCACAGAGCCTAGACCATAATGATGTACACAAGTGAATTATAAGTCATCTAACCTGATGGGTTTGTCATGTGTTGTCCTTCCTCTGTGTGCAATCCATAAAAGTTTCCTTTAAAATTTACTGATGAACACTGGGGCAGATTTGAACCAAATTTGGTCTGAAATATACTTGATTTTAGGGGATATTTTCTTAAGTTCAGAAAGTTGATTCAACCTCAAGGGACTTGGGTGTGGGGCCCCAAAAGGGGAAGTTAGATAATGTTTTGCTTCAAAATGTCACCCTTCCTTAATGCTTAAATGGATTGCATTCAAATTTTTTTCTGAATCATGATAAGGGATGGGTGATTCTTAAACTCAGAAAGTTGATTTGAACCAGAGGGATTTGTGATGGGACCTCAAAAGGGAAATCAGAATATATTTTGCTTTAAAACATTATTCCTTAGTTTCTGGGTAGATTTCAGCCAAAATAAGTCTGAAACATTTGTCTTTTACAAATAGTCTGAACAACTTCTCCAGTTTCAAAAAATTGTTTGGAGCTTTATTTGTTAATGAAAAGAAACATGGTATGTTGTTATGTTTAAGAGTGGACAAAACTTTGACATGGTAGTCACAGTAGCCATTTTGTAACATGAATGGACAACTGTTTTTCATGAACAAAATCTTCCATTTATGCGATTCTGATTCTTTCAAGGAATGTTCAAAATTTATATTCATCAGATTTGTTAGACTACCTTCAGCAAATTCTGTGTCCTGTCCATCCATCTGTTGATGATCAGATGACCAGTAAGGACCATGGCCCTTTTGGTTAATCTGAAATCAGCTTGTCTGTATGTCTTTTTAGTGATTGTTTCACTGGTATATGACTTGTATGTATTTTGTAGAGCTTATTGAAGTGATGGCAGGCTGGGTGAGAGATGAACAGCTCAAAATTCCACAACATCTTTTACGCTTTATGGCTCATTTGGTCCTTTTCCTCAGAACAACACAGCGGCATGTGAGAGTAAGCATCTTTGTCTTACAATTTTCACCAATTGGCCAGTACCTTACTAAAAATAGCATTTAACTTTTCTCATTGTATAAGATGTATTCAAATGCTCAATTGTATATTTATGTTCTAATGTTATTTTTAGTTTGAAATTTATTTCACTCTGAAATGGCTGCTCGTGCACTTACCATGACCATGAGAATCTGTTTATAGTCCAGTATACTAATGGATCAGAAAGCTATCTAAAGTCAAATTCATCTGACATAATCTTAATTTTCTTGGTTTTTACAAAAATCCTTCCTGATCGAGACTATAATAAGTAAAGTTACCATGTATTTTTAAGAATGACCTTTGTTCCCTGATACTGGAGGCATATGTAGAGGACTTGATCCAAGGCAATCACAAGGAGTTGGTAGCACACTATGTTGCTTCATTACCCAGCGATGCTCAGGTTGTGTGGTATGCACGCTTTCTGGAAGGTAAGTCATGCTTATACACCTATCAATAACATAACTGATATACAGCATGGAGTTTATTATCCCCCCACCATTCTACAAGAGCAGGAGAGGTTAGGTTCATACATTTAATTAATGTTAATCTGATAATTTGATCACATGACATTTTAATCATGTGGTGTCCCGTTTTTGATTAATGTCATGTCTTGAAAACCAAATTTGGTTACATATAGCTCTACACACCTGATAGATTTCTGTTCAAGAGTAAGGATATTCATGGCTTGAAGATATTTTTCACTTTGCAATTCTACATTTTATTGTTTAAGGTGTAGTCCAGATAATTGCAGATACTGATTGTAAATTTTGTGAAACATGTTTTTTCTAATTTTATATAACTTATATCACAGTTGAGGTGAACCTCTAGTGTTATCCACTAGTAATCTGTAGAGTATCATTCTGTCAATATTTGAAGCTTAACAATTTTTGTTTTGCTTGAAATATAGTCATGGATGCAACACTACAATGATTTTTTCTGGAAGCAGCATCAACTTTCACTTTTAACTTTTTCATTCAGATCATGGCTCAAAAAGTAGAAATCCAACTTTGGCTATTCGTCCAGCAAACTTAACCACTAAACATTTTACATGAAATGAATATTTTGAAATTAATTATTTGATTTTTGTTTGTGATATTTGTAAATCTTGACCATAACATTTTTACAGAAAATTTGAAATGGGCTACTGTTTTTTTTTTTGTGGTTTGTAGGTGTAGAAGAGAAGGAAGAGAGACAAGCCTGTTTAGATCTGGCTACTAATGCCCAACTAGACATCCCACAGATTACTAAACTTGTGGTGGAAAATATCCGCAGCCACTCCACAGTCGACTTCAACAAAAACATTGACCAGGAAATTGACACTACTATTACACAGGTAGGACCAAGCATAGCATTGTGTCCAGATCATTATCACTGTCAAGTAAAATCTGTTAATTAGATTCTGTCAAAATGTTTCTTATCTGTCCAAACATTTTGCAAGAAAATGGTCCTTTTTTAGTTATTACTTTCTCTTATTTAGTTGAAAAAATGAAGAGAGAAAAAAAAGAAGAAAAAACATCATATAACAAAGATCATTATTTCAATTATTTGGAAGTGAACTCTGACCTCTGTCTTATTAGTCTAGTGTTTAACTGGTTGAGCTAATGGGAAGTTCTCTCTAACTGAGCGATATATTGTCACTTGTATTAAAAAGCTCTGTAGTTTCAGAAAGATGGTTGTTGGAAAAATAAAGCTATGTGTATTGTTATAAAATCATTACACAGGAGCAGACAACAAGCCTTTTGAAATACCATGTATTTCATGTTTGGTGATTTGCATGTTTTTCACACAATGGCAATTTATAAATTTTTCACACAAGGGTGATTGATATCTTTTTCACTCAATGGTGAACTTAATTCTCATTAGATTTGATCTTACAAAGGATTTTACATTTTGTATAACTATATAAATATTTCATCATTAGGAGGATAGGAAGAAAATCGATGCCATTGATTGGTTAGTGTTTGAGCAATCACAGAGATCTGAAGCAATGAGACAGGCCAATGCAGTGATGCGTTCATTTGTGGGTAAGTTCTGAGATTGAAAAACTTGTTATAGCTGTTGTTGTTGTAGTTGTTGTTGTCTGTGAATCATGTGTTCATTTTTGTAATGTGCAGAATTAACTTCTTATCCAAGAGTAAACAACATCAACTGATTTACCAGGCAATTAAATTGATAAGTAAGCATAGAAAAAATTTCCAAGCAAGAGTATTAGCACATATATTTATTAATTAATTAGCTTGTGATAATATTTCATTCCATCTCACTCTAATATGGAAAAAAATGCATTCTTTTTAACATAACATAAAATTGCTGCATTATTCCTGAATCAGCTGAGTAAGTATGATTATTGAATGATATTTTGTAAACTGCTTTTATTTTCAAAGCTGTCAAGAAGTTGCATGCTGCCAAAGAAGTGTTTAACAAACTACCATCAGACTCCATAGATGTGATTGTGAAGACTTGGCAGTACCAGGTATGCTGTTTGGCTTATTGTCTTTTATTAGACTAAATGTAACGCTATGGTTTTCTGCTTATTGTCACAGCCTCTGGAAGTAGGATCAACCAATCCTAGCTTTCTGATCAGTTCAAATTGTCCATTGAAGTACCCACGACCTCTAGCAGCAGTTGTGTGCTTTAAATGTGACCATCTTTCAAAACAGTATTATGGATGTATAAAGTCTCGGTGAAAAAAGTAAATATTTATTCTAAAAACTAACTGAAAGTAACAGGCTAGGTGTTCTAATGCTATTTAGATTTGTGTTAGTCACAAACTAGCATTCCTCTGGTTTGAAGTTGATTTGAACACACAGGATTATTGGATTACTGACAACAATTCATAGCAGTCTTATCAAAATAGGGTCAACTAGTGACAGTCTTTTAAAATAATCATCATATTTTTCGACATCATAAGATATGATCATAATACACCCTTGTGCCAAGTTCCGTGTTGATATTTGTAAAATTGGTTGAGTTATTGAGACATCAATTTTCCTCTGTCACCAACAATGTAAACTTTTGTTGTGTATCACACTTGAGAGCAGCGGAGCAGCAACAACTTATTATCAATAGTTGAATCAATTACAAGAAGGAATTTATCCAAGTAATGTTTTATTACTTTTATCAGAGACATATAATGCATGATTGTCTCTGATTTTATGTTTCTGGTCATATATTATACATTTTCAAACCAAGTAATTATGATCTCCTTGAGTGAGTTTTCTTTGGTGTCTTACTGTCACATTGTGCACGCGCCAGCTGACACAAACCCAGGCACTAACTCAATATCGCAAGCAATTGCGAAATACTTTATGTAGGTATGTTGTCAAAGACAGTGTTTCAAGGCACATTTTGATAAGATAATCACACCAAGACTATCCCTGTTAATTATGATGAGTAAGTTATGACATGACACAAAGATTTGCTTTTGTAAACACCAATGGGACCGATTTTAATAGATAATAAATCCATAGTCGTAAATTTCAATCCACACTCTGCATTCTAGTAAGTAAACACTGATTTCTGCTAATACACAAGCAGATATGTGCTCATGGCTTCTTTATCATGATATGCAATGTAAAGGAGAATCAAATGAAACCTGTCATTTCTTAAAGGTCAAACATGTACAAGTGTTTCAAAAGCTAATCATATGTAATTGACATATTCAGTGTTCCACACCACACAGGCTATTGTCTTAACCAATTTGTGTCTGTACTGATCGGTAGTTTCCTGCTATTACGTCCATGGTCGGTCCATCCATTGGTCAGTAAACAATTTTTTTAGCACTTTTTCTTAATAAGTACATTATAGATCTTTCTGAAATTTCATATCGAGATTCTCCTTGTTCCCTAGTTATGCCCATTCAATTTTGGGTCTGATCAGAAAAACAAAATGGCCGACAGGTGGCCATGGATTTTGACTTCGAAAGTTTGTTAACAAAATTTCTTTTGAACTGCTACATAAATCTTTCTCAAAGTTTATGTATAGGTTCCTCTTGGTCCCTAGTTGTGCCTTTTTGAGTTGGGGCTGATCAGAAATACAAAATGGCCAACAGGCAGCCATCTTGGATTTCGCCTAGTAAAGATAGTTATCCCTATTATATAAAAAGTACTGTTATGTTCCCTTTGTTCTCAACTTGTGTTCATTTGGTTTTGGGACTGATCAGAAGAAACAAAATGGCTTCCAGAGAACCATTTTGGATTTGGCAGGTAAAGAATATCATTGCTATTTCTGCAAAGGAATGTTCAAATGTCTTATTATTAAGAGCAAAAAACAGAGAAGAAAAGAGGGCAAAGATCCACCTTTCAAAGAGCAAATAAAGAGCAAACAATGGTGAATGCCAAGCACCCTCAGAGATCTCTTGTTAAACATTTCATCCTGATTTTGGATTCAGCTAGGAAAGTTTGCACTAATACAGTAATATTGTTGTTTATCATTGTTGTTTATAAAATGTCAAATTCTTCCTATGTCAGTTTTGCATCCGTCATAATGCAGAAAAATCCATTTTGTGCAGCCTAACATAATTTGATCTTTCAATGAATTGAAAGATTAAAAAAAAACACACACACAAAAAAAAAAAAAAAAAAATCTCAAAGCTACTAATGTACTCCCTACTTTGAACCCTTGATGATCTGTTATAAAGTGTTCTTCATTCGGCATCCATTGCCAATGGCAATCTCTTGATTTGGAACTTAAAATTGTTTCAGTGAATTTCATTTATTGGATAGAAAATGTATTGATAATTTCAAATTTGTTGATAGTCTTTATCTGTGTAAGTGTTTAATTGTTATTCAATTTTTAGTACTTTAATTTGCTGATAGTATTTACAGACATGCTTATGCAATGAAGAAACTGTTTAAAGGTCAAACTGAAATTTCTTGTGTCAAACACTTATTCTCAATTAATCATCCATAGATTAATCAACAAGGACATGTTATACATTAAAGGAAAATTGTTCTCCCAAATTTTTTGCAATATAAGAGAAGATTTCTTAATGAAAAAATCTGTTTGTATGTGTAGCACATATATATTGTTAATATTAAGCTTTAAATAAAGTTCGGATTTTGCTGTTGTTAGTGACAAATTAATGCAGACATTCTAATTATATTTTACTGCAGAACTAAAGGAAGTTCCTACTAGCCAAGGCTAGTAAGACAACCAGTACTCTCAACTTCTACACTGTCTCCACAAAGTCTTTGACCCAGAAGACAACATATACTGTGGATCAATATATTCAAAGAAGCATCTGAGTCTCCTGTATCTTCTGTCATTGGAGATCAATAGCATCAAAAGTGTCCTCTAAATATTCACTGATCATTATAATTATTTATTTCTTATACAATTTTCATATTGAAATCAATCTTATTATTGTACTTAAACTGCATTTGATTATCAGAACTCACTAATGAATGTCAGATAAATATCATATGTAAAAGTTTTCAGTAGTCTTTGTAAACCCGTGTGCTTGCTCATGAATTTCTCTTTGTTGATGTTTACAGACAGGTTCAACAGACCTTCCTCCTGAGGAAGCCAATAGTGTGCGGGAATACTTATGTCACAGGGCCTACTTGGTGAGTGGCTGCCTCTTTTTACTATCTATAAATTTATTTACATTGATCAGATTTCTTGGTTTCTTTAGACTTATTTTTCTGGTTACGAAAATTTTGATTAAACAGTGTTGATATGGTAATTGGTTTTTTTTTCTGTCAAGCCAACAAGCGCTCTGAGTTGAATTTTTGTCAGAGTTAAACAACATTTCAGAAAAGTATACATGTATACCCTGTATAGTATATAAGATGTGTGATGATAATTTGTTATTTGTAGAATGCCATGGACAGTTTCAATGACTTATTTAACCAGTACCATCACACAAAGCCAACCAAACCCACACTGGCTGAGGCTGCATCATTTACTGAGAAAGTAGCTCATGAACAACAAATGAAACGCTATCATCAAGAAATGGAGAGATGGCGACACCATCTCGACATACAAACAAAGGTACTTCTGTGCTATGTTATGCTTGTTTCCCAGTTTGTTTTGGTTTTGTCGGTTTACTAAACCAGCTTAGATTGTATGATCACATAATGACCAATGTCTTGGTTAAGAAAATAAAAAGTATATGTAGCTCATTTGTCAATGAAAACAGGAACATTAAAAGATTTGATTGTGTTGCAGACAACCAAGGGAATGATATACAATGTATTACTATTTGCGGATGGAGGCTGGATGGTGGACCAGAAAAAGGTACATTGTCACATCTCGGTATTACTTCTGAGTGTCCTGGAAACAAGATACCAGGATAGACACATGATTGTCTAGAATATCACTGTTTATCACATTGGAAAGTGTTTATTTTAAAGTGTATGTAAATGGTCTGAAGATGTTGAAGTTTTTTAAAGAAATAATGAACAACTATAGTTATTACAGTATGAATAGAATTCTGAAAACAGAATCTTGTGTTATCTATTTTGTATAGGTTGTTTCCCCCGATACCAATCGTGAACACCAGATGGGACTACTAAGGCAGTTGGTATTGCCAGGACTCTGCTTTCTACTTCATAAGATCCTGCACACAAGTGGTCACTATGATGAGTGTCTAAAAATTGCTGATCTTGTGGCCTCAGAGCAACATGGTCTTCATAAGGTACACATTACTTTTCTCCATGATTTCTCAAAAATTTTCATTCTTGTAGTTCCAAAATCAAAATGTAGGTATTGCTCAAATCAGCTCACTGAATATTCAAACACAACATATTCAACAAAAATATTTGAAAAGATACTCTAATTGAATACTTTAAAGATATGTGTTACATGTATATATGTTTTTGTCACCATGTAAGTGATATCAAAAGAAAACAACGGAGATTCTAATTTTATTATTAACAGGTTTTTCGGAAAGATGAACTTCAGCAATTACTGCGCCTTTTGAGGGATTCTTCGTTATGTAATTTGAATAAGAACCTAGATCCTCTTGGATACCAATCTCAGCTGGATCAACAGACAGTCAACATTTGAACAGTGCCTACGACATAGATATCACATCAATTCTGAGTGTTAAGATAATAATCAGTGGACTAGGATACATAAGTGTGGATTATGTGATGATTCAGACTGTTAAAACTCAATCTGATCACAATAGGTGTCAAGAACATGCAGCAAATGCTGATCCAAAAGACTTGTTTGGACTTTTGTACCTGTTGTCACTCAAAGAATCCCATACTGTGTTCTACAGATTGTTATTGGTGCTAAGGATGTACTATGGAAGTAGTCAGGAGTTTTACCACCTAGCTGGGAAAGCAGTGCATTCTTTACAACATATTCTCATATTTCCCAAAGCAAAGAAAGTATTGTGTGAGAGAAAACAATTTCACATCATGTGAGTTTAAGATAAACAAAATCTTTTTTTTTGCTTTTTATTTCAAAAACTTTTTTTTTTTTTTCCACATAAAATATCAAAGGACTAAGATAATGAAGTTGATTTCTGTTTTACTGACAGTTCATGACTTTTACTCTCGTGATGACAATAATTGATTGCCATTCAAATCATTGTGAACATATTAGGACAGGTATTGTACAAAATAAAGTTAAATGATTGCACTAATATTTGTAAATCATGAGAATATCATTAACTTTCAATCATAGTACAATGTATGGAAGTGTCAAGTGCAAAGCAATTAAAATGTTGATGCCATTTTTGCATGAGAAGAGCATTCCTTGTTTTTCTATTATAAGGGAGAAGTTGGCCATGGTAACTTAATTGACAGAGCAACAGACTTAGCAACAAGATGAATGTTTTGATAATCTCAACTCAATTAGTAGAGCAACAGATGTAACAATCTCATGTGCATATCTGAGATGTATGTTTTGATACTTAAATGGGCATAATCAGATTTCAGCACAATATTATCCTTTTGATGAATTAGCACATCCACAATTATTGCTGTATAAGACAGAAACTGCTGTCAGGGCAAGAATATTTCAGTGCAATATTTTTAACACAAAAGGTGTTAAAATAAGATTACCTTTAAGAATTGTATGGTTACAGAAATCCCTATTCTGGGAGGTTTTGTGTTTCAGGGAAGCTGATGTCATGGTCTGTCCACGGCTGTCATGGTTGTGTCCTGGGGTAAGATATGTTTCCCCTAATCATTTACAAAGCAAGTTAGAGGCCTCCTGTATGTTGTTGTTCAGTGAGGTTCCCATTGGCTGCTACAAGGAAAACTTACCCAAGCTGTTCACAGAGCAGATTAACCTAGCAATAAAAAAAGAAAATGTGGTTGTGTCCTTAAGTGACAAGTTACCCTGATTACTTGCTGGTATTGGATAGGCCTCCCACAGGTTTTCAGGAAGTAGACAGTAGCTACTGCAAGAAGACCTTGCCTCAAAATAACGACTTTTCACTGTAGATTGATGCAGTAATAAGGAAATCACCCAAGGAGCAGCAGAGTGTGACATCGCTGTGCCTGATTATTTCTATGAACACCAAAACAAGCCTTGTAGTAAGTTAATATTTTGATGTAGATTTTGTGAGTCTTGCATTGTAAAACATGTGTAAAGAGACCAACTAAACATTATCCACTTATTCCAAGTTGTTGCCTGGAAAAATAGACAGTAAATTTTCATATTTACTGACACTGTTTTCTCTGTAACAGAGAAAATTATCAAAAATGATATCTCATCAATAGCAAAAGGTACTGCTAGGACAATCTGTCAAAGAGTTTGGAAAGCAAATAATAACCGTTTATTGGAGTCTTTACCTTCTTCTGCAACTATCAAATGCTGGATAAAGGAATTTCAGCATTGATGAGACAGAAGATGACCCCTGTCAGGACGGCCATCAACCAGTAGGAGCGCGGTACACAGTGACACTGTGCACAAACTACAGTTGGAATTCTGCCGTATTACTTTTTATGAGTAAGTCAAAACAAAACCTTCATGACAAACTACGCATTACCAGGGTATATTGCATGATGGTCCCAAAAAAGTATAAGGTGACACAAAACCATCAGTGCAGCCATATTTACTGGCTCTATCATTATGATCCACAGAGTTAAAAAGGAATCGAGTGAATTGAAACGCGCCAGTTAAAAGCAAGCAAGTCCTCCAATAATGTTATGGCGTCCATATTTGGGGAAGTAACGGTGTTCACATAGACTACCTGCCCCATAGAACCACAGTTTATGCGGAGTATTAGACAAACGTACCGAAGCTGGTACGCTAGTGAATCAAGGAATCCATCGAGGGATTCCGCTTCACCTTCACCCACATCAGCCGAATCTCAATGAAAGCTGAGCGCAAGTGTGGCTAAGAACTCCCTTACCAAACCTTTTCTTCAGACCTAGCACCAAGCGACTTCCATCTCTTCCCCTTGGAATCACAAAGTATTGGTCTGGTCTTGTTTTCAAACTTTGCTGAATTATTCAATATTGAAACATTGTTGTTCCGTCGGTATATCGTGCGAGTTTGAACGATTAAAAGTAACCAAGATAAAACGTTATACATAAATCGTCATAAGATGAAACGAAGAAAAAAATCTAAATTTGACTTGGTGTTAATCACACAAAAAAAGAAGTAAACTTTCACCAATATCTTTTTAAAAGAAATAGAAGGTAAACAAATACACTACTTTAGCCGAAAGTTTCCAACAAATCCTCAGTCATATTTTGAGTCGATAATGTTTTGGAAAAGATATCTTAAAATTATTCCATTAGAACAGCTTGTCTTTTGATAACTGTTTTTATTGTAATGAGCTTTTTATGTTATGATATGTCAATGTTTCTTTTTTAACAAGAACAATTTGGAATATAATGATTTTATTTCTTGACGAGACTCCATTGAAATTTGAGTTTCTTTGTTACAACGCTCACCAACTCCACAGCATTTTGTCGAAAGACCTTAGAACAAATAGAACAAAAATTAGCATACTTTCAAAGCCGTCTAAGCACTGGTCAGGTATGATGACCCTTGACCTTTTTGATGATTAAGATGTTGTTTGATGGATTTATCCCATTCGACTTATGCGACGTTGAAAGCGGGTTAAAATAATTTATTTCAACAAATTTAAAATTCAAATATGAGACAGAGTCTTTTGGTTATATAACCCCTATGACCTAGAAAATGAGTCAGTGTCATTCATCTAAACATCTTAGTAGCCATTCACCCCAAAAAGTACTGACCAAATATGACACTTGACTATTTGGATGTTGAGAAGAAGCTGTTTAGAGATTTTTACACATTTCGGGGCATGTCATTGAAAATAGGTCATGGTCATACAATCAAACATGCCACCTACACAGTCTTTTTAAACTTTACTCACTTCGTTATTAAGTTGTTGACCACGCGCCATGGCAGAAGCTGACGCTCTGAAAACCATACAAATAAAAATGGCATCTGTTGTTAAAGCATGACTTCCTATGTTAAGGTATCTACAAATTCATGAAAAACTAAATATTTGATCTTAGTTTGAATTTTATTTAACAAAAACATGTATTACCGAATTTTCCTTAACATATTAATTATACTAACTAAAATACATATTCTAGTATCCATTGCAACCACAACAACTGTTTCTTGTAAAAGAAAAATAGTCTTTGTTCTAATGAAATAACGATGAAGTACAGGAATATCTAATTCACAACATCCTAACAAGGAATTTGGGCTATCGTTAACTAAAACTTACAGAAATGCTAAACAAAGAACCACATCTTTAAAACTATATACAAAGGAAGAATTCTAAAGCCTGTATATAAAATAGTTTTATGTTTAATTGACATCTACTGGCAAGAATAAAAATAGCAATCAAAATATGAAAACAGTAGTATTTCCTGGCATGGTCTTGTAAAGTTCTAGATCTGATCGGGACAACAGCGGAGACAGCATCTTACTAATGAAGCTATAGGGATAAGGTTTGCAGAAATCGAGTGATATACTGATTTTTATGCCAGAGTTTTGTTTCTATTTGAGAATTTTCCTAAATACGAATTTAGTTTCAAATATTTAATAAACCATCAATCGTATAACATTTATCGAACTAAATGTAACGTTGTATACATTAGTTATCAAGAAATGTATTCATGAATGCGATAAAAATATATAATAATGCTAGTATCCAATGTTTGCTGTAGCACGTTTTCAAAACCACTATTATAAACTCCATCCCCTATCTTAGGTGATAATTACAAACAAAGGTGCGATTTGTACCTTAGTGTATTACAAAGTTATTTCTATAACATACTGGCTGACAGGCTGGTGTATCTATAAATATATAATATATACCCTCAGTATCATCAATATTGTCATTAATGATTTAATATCAGCATCATGACTTAGAAAACAATTCACTTTCCAACGTAAACTTATATCTACATCCTATTTCTTCTAAGATATTTCTTATCGCTTATTGTATAAGCGCGTAATTGTATGCCAATGTTTGACATATTTCATTTGTGAGATGTGAACTCTTTTATATGCGTACATATAGGTTGCATAACCTGATCAATAATAACCTGTGTATGTCTAATTAGCTCATTGGAACGTTCAATTATATCTAAGTTACAAAGAATTACGAGTATACAGACTCAATGACAAGGCAACAAAAGACAAGGAATTAATAATGCATATACGATATAGTGAAAGTTAACATGTGCATTTCATGAAAAGGAAACAGATGCGGTAAAATGTTATGTAAAGCTGTTCTATATGACATTTGTAACACGATCAGCAGACATTTCAACGCTGGCTATTTACAGAGACGGACACAACGTTTCCAGCTATATATGACATGTGTTACATTGTTAATGTTATCACAATAGGAGCCTGATGATAGATCTAGTTTGTAAAACAACAGATGATATTTATAAATAATACAAAATGAATGAAATCTAAAAATTCATATTGTTAGTAGATGAGTAATTAAGGCTAATAGATTAGACTATAAATATGTAGATAGTTCTGATTAATGAACAATCCTAGAATGTATAAAACAAATCTGCATCTTAATGCGATTCTACTGTGTGAAGCAGTGGTGCTAATATCTGGTGTATAGATGTTATGCCACACCAATATTTCTATCACCTGGTAGATTTACGATGTATCAGTCCTTAGTATCATTGGTTAAAACACTGATACAACCACTTGTCTATAGATAGGACTGCACAGGCAAGAATCATAGGTGATTCGTATGAGCTACGTCTCGTAAGTTTTTCTTCAGACTATCACGTTTAAATACATTTTTTTAAATAATGGACATATCAACCCACTTTAATTGCACATACTGGAAACTTTAGGATCAGAATATCTAGTATTCAGATTCGTCGCCAAATGCTCTTGAATGTTCTTGAGAACACATAAACATAACGAAATCCCAGCATCTATCAGCTGATGAAAAAGAGACTCCGTCTCGCCGTGATAGTTACAAGCACCAATGTGACAAGTGTCTGCACATTTAAAGTGCTGAGCCCGGACGCTCCATTACATCCGTCGGAGTTACAGCTTAATATGCACCCCTTCATTCTCTTTTCGTCGTACTGTATCTCCCGCATCCATCCACAGTGACTCTGACGACCGATCTCTGTCTCTGAGTTTGTACCGCCATTGTCTACCACACAGTCACGTACCACGAGTGAAAAGCCAGTGGAATCTATGGAGGATAATGATATCATTTATAGAGAAATACACTAAAGAAAAAAACTGACATCGTCAGTAATGTAAAAGCTCACAATGCGAAAAAAGTTGTTTAAATACACAATAGACCATATCTTGACTACAAAAGTTGAAGATGTGTTATTAAAACAGATCGTGATATAGAGAATTATCTATACTATCACAAGAAGGACTATTTGACATGTTATTTATATTTAGAATGGTTATTTTGAACAAAAACTCAACGAGAGCATACATATTATTTTGAAAACGTAATCTCAAATCTCTACAACGAAGGCAAAATATAAGGAAACGAACTTTTCGTATACACCCAATTGGAAACAAAGAGAAGGAGACTAGATGTTCAGAAAGGATTAGCGCCTTCTGCTTCATCGATAACTTCCACCTTGTAAACCTCAGTCAAATTAATTTATATGTTCTCAATACAACGAAACTACAAGCCTGTCTAACCCAATAAAACAATGTATTGAAATGTTTAATAATTATAACACATAAAACATCTTTAACATGGCATCTTTTCTGGCATCTGTCGACATCTTTCACAGAAATTGGGATAGTGGGACCAAAAATGGCGGAGACGTTAGGATATAACTTAGTTGAATGGACAAGTATCATATTATCGTGTATAACCTGTAATAATTCGTCTAACGTTTTTGTCCTCATTCCCGGAACGTTCTAAAAGTTGAAAAGATCTTGGTTAGTGGAATTTAATACACGCTCCCACCAAAAACAAGGAGTAGTGTCTTTTTCCAAACCATGATATAATCATAGCTAACATTTCACCTCTGTTTTCATCAGGTTATTCAATATGAGTTTACGATTCCTTTAATGCCTCATGTAAATAGGTTAGATATTTGGCATTACTGACGAGTTCTGGAAGGACAAAGTAAATGTATGATGCAGTTTAACTTATTATTTGTCTCTACCTAATTCCAAATGTGTGTAAAAAGGTGTGTCTTTTATATAATATTCTAATGATTAAAGTCTTTTACATCAATACGCAGTCTTACCATCGTAAGCAATCATTTTTATGCACTCGGTGGCGGGAAAGAGACCGTGGCGCCCTTTACGACTTGCCCAACATTCGGAGATATAGTATTTATCGTCTGTGTTATTGAAAGTGTCCTCACATGCGTTGTTTTCCTTGTTGATGGAAGTACACTGGAAACAGCCAATGGTGTCCGCTGTAACAAACGTTAAAGTAATGGACAGTGATCAGTGGGTCGATAATAACAAATATTCTGTTATTTTTGTAAGAACAGAAAAATACTGACATATCAACATAATCTTAATCCAAACTGAAAATCGACGAAACGGGGAACAAATAAAGATTTACACGGAGACCATTGAAAAGAGTACAAGGAGAATAAAACCACGTGTTTTTACCTTGTAAGATTAGCTTAATCTCGTTCTACGATGACACCTGTCATGAAAACCTTGGTAAATCCGTTCTCAATTGAAAACACGAATAAAAACAACGAATCCTGCATGCATACTCAGACTTATCGGACATGGAAAGCATGTGCAAGTTTTGTACACTATTTCATTTCTATCTGTGCAATATTGTTCTGTACAAGGCAATACATACAGGTTCGTAATACAGGCACGCGCGCATAGAAATGTGAGGTGTCCCTTCCCAACAAATACATGTAGTTATTTGCAATGACTGTTTAAATTTTGTTTTAATTTCTAAAGACGGAACATTCAATTTCTATATCAATTTGTGGACTATTTGCATACTGGAAATGTGATATTTGTGTAATATGGCGTCCTCGATAGTACATTGTTGACGTCTGTTTTCGAATGAGAAATGAGAGAAAAAAATCTTTTATATTTTGGGGTGATAGAAAATGAAGTAAAACCCTCGGCAACGACATTTTGTGACCCCGCGGATGGAATATCCCTAGCCTACAAACCTACACATGAAAGAGTCTAATAGTGTTCTATAGCTTCCAGAATGATCATGAATACATGTTCGTTTGATATAAACCAGATACCAGTATCTAACACCTTGTTATGACCGTTCCTCCCAGTTTGACGCAAGATGATAGTAAAAAATGGATTTTCAACTTAAATATAAAACATGTACAATCGATACTGATAAACTTTATGTTTAATGCCACAACCGTAGTGGAGTAATGAAAATGAATAATTTGATATTTATATACCTTCTTTTGCTAAAGATAACAGAATCCAGATGACCAAGCCGGACATGGAGTGCATTTCCGCCTTTGCCCACATGTCTATCACGTGTTCTGGATAGGGAAGTCAGGGATCAGTTCGACATCGAGGCATCATACGTTAAAGCTCAAACAACACAGATATATGGCGTCACTTCCTGTTCCTGTCATCATAAACATTAATGTCTGAAACAAAGTGATGAAAGTTATTAGAAGAAGCACCTCCGATAAGATAATATTGATATCTATTTGCAAAGAAATTAAAGCGGTCAATTATAGGACAGACAAATGTAAGACGTTTGGAATTTTGGTCATCCGTAAAAATGGTTTCTTCTAATCAACAAGCATATAGTTAAGTTTAGTTTATTATTGTTTTACGTCCTATGAACAACCAAGATCATTTAATGACGTGCCATCGAGACACCCGCCATGTAAACATCACTCATTCCAAGTAAGTAATGTTACTTTCTCAGATGAGAACACGGTATATTATAATGGAACTAACATGCAAACTAACCAGTATTAAACACGTCCAGCTTCACAACGCACAAAGAAATAGAATTTCTCAAAATTTACATCAACCCGCATGTTTTTAAACCCTGTGTTACGAGTTTGTTAACAACATCTTGTAAGAATGTCGTGGTAATGTGAACAGGCTCTTGAATAGAATCAATTGCGATATGTAAACACCACAACTTAGAGGAAAGCCGGAGTTACCGGATAAAAGACACCGACCTGCGACCAGTCCCTGGCGACTGCCTCACGTAAGTCTCGAACCCGCGACCCACAGGTGGAGACCTAGTGATCAAGACGGCTGGACGCATTAACCGCCTTTGCGAGTCTCACCACCTTAATTATTTATATAGTATAGATGCTACCTATACATGCTTAGCACACCATAATCACATCTGACCAATTTTGCACATGTTGTGATTGCCCCTCTGGATGAATCGGAAATTAAAACATTTTGATAATCTTAAGCACTCTATAACGACAATGAATTGGAAGTCTTATGATCTTGATATTCAGCCAATTGCTGAAATCTAGAGTGAAAATTTCTCATTGAAAAATGGCTACCAAAATCATGTGATCATTCTCGCGCCATTTTCTTGCTGAATGATTGTTTTCAGTTCTTACTAAGCGATGTCCTTACCAATAACAATGTAACTCATTGAGTTAAACCATTCCAAGGACTTACTTGCAAAACAGTCATACATTATATGTGGAGTTTTTGTATTGTGATAAAACAGTTCGATACTGGTGAACACAAAATCTAGTTTCCATCGAGATACAATGTAGCATCATTGCCATAATGAATGGCACAATACTTTACATTAGCTTATAAAACTGACTCTTCATTGAGAAAGTGGGAAACACGTAGTCCTGATTCTGTATACAATAGAAGTATATAGAAAGAAAACGTATAAAACTGTCCGGCATACTGATGACTACTTTTGTATGTTTTTAACATTAGGTATGCAAATCTAAGGCGATACAGAAATGTCAACAAACTTATTATTCGATCTACAAATCCATAAAATTACAACAAAATATCAACAACGCTTTTATAGCTACTGCTGGAACAGAACCATGAGAAGACGATCTGGTGTTCCCGCTTAGTCGACACCATATGTCAATAATTTCATGTCTACATAGTAAAAGTGTGACAAAGCTATGAAAACGAAACAAGACACTAACGAGCATAAACTTCATGTGGAACACGGAGATAAAATAATTGCTAATGAGATCACGATGTTGTCGATAAAACGCCGTCCATCGACTTTGTCAATCTGTCATCAATTGGCCCAACTGAACGGTAACAACTTATATACAGTGTAGATGTGTTGCTATTTGCCCCTCCCCATCTCTTTCCTTCTCTTGTCCCATTTTCTCTCTAATCTCAATCTCATAACTCATACTCCATCTGCTCTATTAGATCCATTTTTGTTTTATAAATGACATCTTGTTTTTAGATAACAAGATGTCATCAGAATTAGACATCAAGGACACGGCAGACTCTTCTACGTCAGACGCTTATCTGTATTTTTCCCAAAGAATCTACCATGACCATATTTCCACCAAGCTTTATGATATGCAAGAAATGTATTGACCATTTCCATCTGTATACCCAGTACAATTGGCAATCAAAGACAGACTCTTATACATAAGCCGCTTACCTTGATCCTTTCCTACAACGAAGCCATCATGACCAAATTTCCATCAAACTCTATGGTAAGTGTGATTATTTCAGATTTCCCGTTGTGAATTTTCCAATTTTGGATAGTAACATTCCTGCACTCCGAACAGGGTTTCAAAAGATGGAGGTTGATAGATGGAAACTTTGGTCACGATTTGAAATCATGTTTATGTGACAGCTGTTTGGTCAGATTTCCAGGAGGAAACAGGTTATGGTGCTGAATATGAACGACATAGATATATTTGAGTGAATCAGCTTCGTTTTAAAAATAATATATACTAGGTATTTGTTTCCTGTCTGCTTGGAAAGCCTGCCTACGAACTTGTCCTTGTAATTCTTGTTTTTAATTTTTTAGGATGGAGGATATATAGATTAAACTAAGAAATGTATTTAAGTTACAACTAGCATCAAATTGTTGTTAATGTTATAACAAAACATTTATCGGTACTTTCCTACTGTTGTTACAGACATGTGTAAGTTACTTTTGAAGTAAGAAGATACACATTAATGAACGAGGTGAAAGTTTATTTGTTGTAATACTTAATGTTGTTACAAGGAAGGCAAAGATACCGCGTTGTCATCACACACGAAGAAAATAATATGATCAGAAGCAAAAGCATGAAAACATCGTGAAACCCTTACAACTGAAATCGATGGAAAGTGTTCCAAAGAGTAAGCATGCCCTGCAGCTTTAGACTGTAAAAAGTAAAGAACACATACTTCTCTAGGATGAGTTTTAAGACGATATACCTATCTGGGATGAGTGTTAAGACAACATACTTATCTAGAATGAGTTTTAAGACGATATGATTTTGAGAGTATGCAATATACATCCATCTGTCAAAAGAACGAGCTTATGACCAATCGCTTAATTGTCACTTGTTAAATATTAAGTTTCTGTTCCAGGGCCAAATAGCTCGATATTACCAGCGCTAAAACTTGTATTTTACTACGGTTAAATTAGAATGTTGGAAAAAGGTTGTCGGATTCTGGGGGAAGGATCTACAAACGCAAAGGATACTTTATTTGCCTTTCATAAAACTTTTGAAATCTTGGTTCGGTCAAATTTTAAAACATTCGTGGACGTGGAAATAAACATTGGCCCATTTGTTGTGATGCCTGTACAATTTAATGTAAATACCAGGATGTTGTTGACTTTTTAAATCTTACACTTCTCTTGACTAGTATACTCTAACTCTTGGGTGTGATTTTTACATCTAAATGCTGTCGGATTCCTGTTGAGATTTAACAGCTATTCATGGGAGTGCTGTAAACACGTCACGTCTCAATATCGGACAATCTATCTTTAAGATTGGTATATCATGATATGACTTTATATAAAGATTCCTTTGTGTGGCTCAGGGCCCCATTCGTCAACATAACTGTTGCAACCACCAGTTCAGTACGAATAGTGTAGACCAACGCCATTCGAGTTTTGTTACACAAACAACGTTGGAAACTATAAAACAACTTGATTAACTTTTAATCCACATTTTACTTCAAAATCGAATATATTCCATTCAGTATGTATAGTAAAAAACAATATTAAGATATTTACAGATGCGAAGATTCCTATCGTTATAACGTGTCAATCACGTGTCAATCACGTATCGCCACGTTTCATCTAAATGTCTACTAAGAATCGGAAAAAATCAAAATGACGTCAATGTAATTTTCTTGTATATATGTGCTATTTCTTGTATTTCTTTACTAGTTGTAGTATACCATACCATTCCCCCATAGTTACAGGCCTCTATCTCTCGGAAAGGTTCATGGAATTTAATGTTATTAACTAATTATCATTGACATACAAATACAAATAACACGGACATTGGTAATATATAATCATACGTTTTCACAGAAGTTTATTTTCGTTGTTTTCGTGTGGGCAATATTTGAAAAAATATAATTACTGATTTTATCTATCTAGATCTATCTTTCCAAGAATTTAACGCCTGCAAATATTCTATTTTCTGAAAAAAATGGAAATATGAGCCGACGTCAAATGTGATTGTTATAGTATATAGGGCTACAAATTCCCATATTACTATTTTACTACGAAAGCGTGTTTAATCTACCGGATGGCCAGTTATTTTCGTAGAGATATATTTTCGCTCTTTCACGGTAAAAGGTATCGATTTGGGTAGCGTTACGTTATAAACGTCATAGCGAAAATTGAATCCGTGAATAACGAGACCCGTGTGTATAAGATGTCGTTTTAAATTCAGATCGCGAAATTTGAACTCGTTCAAATAAAATTCGATCGCTTTGAAAGAAAATCGTGAAAATTTTGACCTGTGAATATTAGCAGCTATACGGTATTTCCGTTGTCATCGTAGCAATCTATTGATTAATTGCCCATCAATAATTAACACGAAAACTAACTAGTCTACTTAGTAAAAGGACATGGTCCATGGGGCGTAGTTAATATATCTGGTAATTTATTCTGACAGGAATATACCACAGTATAAGTGAAAGGTATTAAGTGTTATAATGGCCTACTGAACTAGACGGAAGGGCGCCTGCTCGTCTGATGGTTGTGCAGGGGAACTCATGTAAAAATATCTACCTGTCACACACTGCACATTTCTTATAGACCCTCAAAGTGTAGTTAGTTTGGCCATTAAAAAGGACACGAAGAAAATCATCTTAAAGAATTAAACAAATGAATTGCCCTTGTCAAAATGGAAACCTTATCATCGATTCAGAAAGAAATTATTGATTGAAATCGTCACGAAGAAAATAAATCCCAAAATGTGATTGGATGACAGATTAAGCTTAAGACTTGTGGTGTCGGACTACTATATATGGAACAGACTTTTATAGCTCGTCCACTCTAAAACTCCTCATTTTTCTGACTAGACGATTCACTTTGGTGTTGTTTATTGATCTTACCGGCCAGGATCTGAATATATCGCTTGTTTTAGTTTTAAAGCTCAAGACAGCAGTGTTATTAAACTGCAGACAAAATGTGAGGATAACAACGCTA